ATAGAAAGATACCAGCATGCATCTATGAAAGGCCGACTAGTAATCAATATGAAAGGATAAGCCTCCGTTCGGCCGGGGATGAGCTTGTTCTTACGAGCAGACTTGGAATCTTACGTGTCTTTTACGTGTCTTTTGGACTTTGGTCTGACATTATGAAACTTAGCAACGCAGACCCTCAAAAACGCGAGGTTCTGGGTACTTTCTGGTACGTTATCGAGTCGAGTTCGCCACGAGTTGGGGTCATTTGGAGAGCCTCAGGCGTGATCTCTTAGTTTGTTTTGTGGGACCGTCGACCCACTTGCTCACCATTGGTCAAACGGTACGTAAGAACATCTCGTCTACCTGAATATGGTCAAAGTCTCGCGGCAGAGTATACCGTTCAGCAAATTCTTATGATTGACTGTAGCTATCGTAGTGTCCAATTCACACAGCCGCACCTACGTGACCATCATGTCTGTCTTTTTCGACTCGCCTCTAAGGTCAGTACCAAATACTTTACTGTTCAAATGGAGAGTGTGCGCATATTGACGTTACCACAGTGAGGATCTTGTACGGGTTGGGGACGCAGAATCAGTACTACAAAGCATTGGTATCAGTAACGGCATACCACCACACGAGTCTCGGGACTACCATCAATTACTAGCGGCGGTCCACGATGTGGCGGAGCACGTACTTCAACTTCCCGACTATACAGCACCTACCGACACCGAAAGATATCCACGAGGACGAATTCACCGACCATCAGCAGAAGAGCAAGATTTCGGCAATGCTTGGGCCCATAAGTTCCAAATACGTGGTAACCCACAAGGACACCTCCTCCAAGGAAAGACTGTATGTCTCAAAGACAACATCGCAGTGGCCGGAGTACCGCAGTTCTTCGGAACAGATGCCATCCCTGCATGGACACCCGATTCCGACGCCACAGTAGTTATCCGCACATTAGATGCTGGTGCTGACATTGTGGGTACGACCATATGCGAAAACTTCTGCAACTCCACATCGTCATTCACTTCAGCGCAAGGTACCGTTCACAACCCGTATGCGAGAGGGTACTCCGCTGGTGGCAGTACGTCTGGTGGCTGTGCAGTAGTCGGTGGCGGTTTGGTAGATATCGCAATTGGTGCCGATCAAGGCGGCAGTATTCGAGTTCCATCGTCATTCTGTGGGTGTAAGTACACCATGACTATTACGAAGCACATCATGATGTAGTGCAAAGCTGACGATATACACCAGGTGTTGGACTAAAACCAACGCATGGCCTTGTTCCCTACACTGGTATATCCAGTGGCGACGCTGTCAGTGATCATGCTGGGCCCATAGCAAGATCAGTTCGCGACGTAGCTTTATGTCTCGATGCCATCGGCGGAAGAGATGACTATGATGATCGTACACTTGGTGCACCAACTCATGGGTCAAAGCATTACGCAGAACGTCTTCAAAGCTCGGTCGCAGGAATGAAGATTGGCGTTCTTAAAGAAGGCTTCGAGCACCGTCTCGTAAACCAAGACGTCAAATCAACCGTGAGAAAAGCCGTTCAGTCCTTTGAAGAACTAGGTGCTACCGTCGAAGAGGTCTCATTACCCCTTCATCTAGAAGGGCCAGCTATTTGGACCATCCAACAGCGAATCGCAGGTACCTTCAGCATGTTGGGCTACGCGCACGGTCGGAGAGGACTATTCTCAACAGCCTACGAAGCGGCGCGACAACCATGGACGAACGAAACATTCCAAAAGCTCTTTCCATCTACGAAGAATACTATGATCAACGGCCTCTCGCTGATGCAGAATTACCCGGGCCTTTACGCGAAAACCATGAATGTGGCCCAACAGCTCCGCGACGCGTATGAGAAGCTGTTTCAGGAGTATGACCTTATCATTATGCCGACAACGCCTTTTGTAGCACCGCCCAACATAGACTGGAAGCGCGGGGAGGATGCGCCGATAGACGCGCTGAAGCCAAGTATGGGCATCACCATCAACACCGCTATTTTCGATGTAACGGGGCATCCGGCCATGTCACTTCCCGTAGGCTTTGCGTCTTCGGGTGTTGATCCTGAGGTCAGCTTGCCTGTTGGTATGCAATTGGTCGGTGGTCTTTGGCAGGAACAAAAAATACTAGATGCGGCTTTTGCCTGGGAGTCGGCAAACGACTGGAAACAAATCGGCGTGCGACAAGATCAAGAGTCGAAGCATGCTACGAAGCTGTAGAATATGTCGTTATTTAAAATATCCGAAAATGGGCTTTGCTATTTCGAGCAATATGCCACGTCACCGCGACATCTTTCTGATCAATTTATCGTGTAGCCACCATCCACAACCAATGCATGCCCTTGAATGAACGATGATTGTGCCGAACACAAGAACAGCACTGCGTCAGCGACTTCCTCTGGTGTGCCCATTCTCTTCATAGGCGCTATCTCAATAGCCGGTTTCAAGGCTTCCACCATAGCCGGCGATGTGGTAGTCATGGGTGTCTCAATGACACCAGGACAAACGCAGTTTACGCGTATGCCCTCATCGGAGTAGTCGATAGCGTTCGCTCTTGTCATATTGATGATAGCACCCTTTGAAGCGCAGTATGCCGCTGTGCAATGCTCATTAGTAGATATTTCGCATTTTACGAAACGGTCAACGTACCAGCACCCGGCCTCGCTACAATGCCGAGCTGACTAGCGATATTGACAATAGAGCCTCTCTGCTTGGGATGCTGATCAAGAGGCTGCTGCTTCAACATGTTCCTCAGCTGCGCACGGCAACTAAGCCATGACCCCTTATAGTTGATAGCATTGAGTCGATCGAAATGTTCGGTCGTCATCTCTACAGCTTTGATAACATCGCCACCGAGCACGCCAGCGCAATTGACTCCATAGTCGAGCCTCTTGAACTTGGAAAAAGTCTCATCGTTGAATGAGTCGACGAACCTCTCATCAGCGATGTCGCCAGCTCGCTGGAAGACCTGAGCGGAAGGGTTGATGCTCAGGATAGAGTCCCTGGTCTGCTCGAGCGTCTTCGGGTTGATGTCGGTGATGGCGATTCGCGAACAGCCTGAACGGGCGAAACCCTTAGCTACGGCCGCACCAATGCCTGATCATCATGAGCATGGCAATTCAACGTCGCATAAGATAGCCACCTACCAGTTCCTCCAGCGCCTGTGATGACGGCTACACCTGGGAGTAATCTTGCAAGCGATGCCATACTGCTATCATGTGGCGGTGAAAGCGTGATCTACCGAGATACGCGCTCACTGATTGATTTGATGCACGCATGAATGCACTCAAGATTGGTTAAGGGATAGCTTACCGACAAGACGTTCTGCCGGCGATACGTTCGGCGGCCATCCCGTCGAGTTCCGCTATCTTGGAGTAAGCGTTCCACCTACTCCGAAGATACGCCTTGCGCTAACCACGGCGCTATTTACCCCGCAGACATAATTGGCCGAGGGCAAAACCTTGAAGTAAAGACCAAGACCCACCTCGCTCCAATTCACCTCCAACTCCAACAATTCTCACACCACATGCACGGACTCGCTCACGTTTGTACCCATTGCTCCAGAAGCTTCAAGCGAGCAGAGCACCTGATTCGCCATACTCGTACACGTTCGTGCCTTCCTCTAAGCGACTCCACGATGAGGGCGTCGTCAGAACTGATGTCAGCACAGATACTAGAGAGAAGCCGTACTCGTGTCGATGCGGACAAGCGTTCACGCGACGTGACCTGCTTACTAGACATTGGCGCATCACGCACCATGCTGGCAATCCTGATGCAGAGTCGACAACGTCGACTGAAACAGCGACGACAATAGACGCACCGGCTTTGAACGTCCCCAGCGCTGGGGCCGTCGAAGCGCATCTCGTCCCGCAGGTCCACGCAAGCCAGCTTGAATTGCAACATCCTCCGCCCACCTATCAAGAACTTCAGCCGGCGCCGCCATATCGCGACGAAGGGTTTGAAGATTTCCGTGACTTTGTAAACTTCATCGATGGTGTTGGACTATCCGCCCAATGGACGCCTGAGTACGACTTTGACTGGATGCGACTAGGAGAACCTCGTCAGGAATCTCGGCGGCACTCCCGAGAACCAGAAAATCAGCCTTCCTCCCCAGGTGCAGAGGACATCGGCACGCCTTTCAGCACGTGGCTACCATCAGCTCCAGCTGATGATGAAGTCCATTTGCGATCCAACACGCAGGATGGTGAGAAGAGAACGAGGAACGGGACATACAATGTAACGGATGAGCACCGAAACTTCCTGGTATCTCTGCTTGAGAGCTTCGCTCCTCCCATCGCCGACTTCCAGATCCCTTCCCGACATACCCTTACTAGGTATATTACCGCGTTCTTTGGTGGCTTTCATTCGCACTTCCCGTTCATACATGCGCCAACTTACAAACCGTCATGTTCGCCTTTGGAGTTGACACTGGCCATGTGCGCTGCTGGAGCGCAGTACTGCTTCGAGCGAAGAAGCTCCGAACGTCTCTTTCGTGTCTCGAAAGCTATTGTCTTCGAACGCCTACGACAGGAAGAGTCGCATTTCGGGCCACAAACTCTTTCCTTCATCGCTTCTACGAACATATGCTCGCCAGAAGCGCATTTCATTAGCAGACGCACAGGACCATGGTCGCCTTTGGACATGGCGAAGACCCTACTGATCCTGGTAGGGTTCGCGACATGGGAAAGGAAAGACCTGCTTCAGCAAGCATTCGCACTTCGAGGCCTTCTAGTGCAGTCACTTCGAGATATTGGTCTCAAAGAAGAGGAGCCGCCCAGGACTATATCGACCTCTAGAGCAGCAATGTGGGATAATTGGGTACAGCGCGAGTCATCCAGACGTACAAAACTCGTGGCCTTTTGTTACATCAACGTGCATAGTATTGCATACAACATCCATCCTCTGCTTTGGAGCAGCGAACTTCATCTGCGACTCCCTTGCTGTACACCGGATTGGCAGGCTAGTAGTGCCGCACAGTGGGCTGCGCTACAACGCGACGGACGCGAGGATCACATGCCCTTTCAGCAAGCGTTGTCGATACTTTTGCAGGGAACGACAAATGAAGGTAAGGTACTATCGGAAGAGCTATCAAACATTAATTAACATACTTCAGAACTAGTCCACCCGATTCCAAGCCCAATCGGCAACTACATCCTTCTTCATGCACTGCTTCAACGGATTCATGTAGTCAGGGAGCTCTCCTTCCCCGCCACATCACCTGCAACAATCTCAGCTGCAGAGCTACAAGTCATTGGTCGCGCTCTCCGCGCATGGACCTCTCTCTGGCAACAAACCCCGGAATCAATGCTTGACCCCAACAACGAAAGCGGACCCATCCCTTTCACGTCAAGCGCACTACTAGTGGTAGCTTACGTGCGGCTCTCCCTCGACATAGGACCTTACCGTCATCTAGAGTCGCGCGACACCGATGTCATAGCCAACGGTCTAGCAAACCTCCCAGACATCGAGCGCAATGACAACATACTGTCAGCTCTGCTGTACTCAACTCATGCACTCAGTATACCCGTCCGACTAGGTATCGACAGGGTTGCGCGCAGCCAAGCGTTCTTCTGGAGCGTTCAGCATGCCATATCGAGCTTCGAGTGCGCCATCTTCCTTGGTAAATGGCTGTGCTCTATCCCGAGGCCGTTCCGCGAGGAGTCGCTGTCGCGATCTGAGCATCGAATCCTTCACTGGGTGAGATGCATCATCAAGGAAGCGTATGCGGTGATTGACTTTGAGGATGCTGAAGAGACTGATGGTTTCTTGACTGTACCCAGTGAGCCGTTTGCGCTCGGTCTGGCTGTACTGAATATTTGGTCAAGGTTCTTTCGTGGTAACACACAGTGGCAGTTTGTTGTGAATCTCGGGTTGAGCTTAGAGAAATACATCGCCAAGCTGGCGTGAACTATATATTTGTTCCACACCCACAGCCCCTCATACCTTGTCATTATGCGTCTTCTCATCATGAGCCTTGACAGTATCCATAACCTCGCCATCCCCATCCGCAAAAGCCCTATCCCCGAATGCAATCGCGATCTCCTCAAGCGAATGATTCGCCGTCTCAACATAGTAGAAGTGCGCCAGGCCCGCAGAGAAAAGACAAAATCCTGCGATGACAAGGTAGAAGTACCCACCAATACCTGCAAAAGCGTCCGGCGAAACCATGCCGATGATGAAGTTGAAGACCCAGTTTGACGTCGTCGCAAGCGCCATGCCCTTACTGCGGCTGCGGAGCGGGAAGATCTCCGCAGGTAACAACCATGGCATTGGACCCCAGGTGAAGCCGTAGACGATGTTGTAGAGCATGATGAAAGCGAATTGTCCGTTTGCGCGTGTCATAATGGGCATGGAAGCTTCTGTGAAGGCGCACACGATGCCGAGAAGGGCAGCCATGAGGACGCCGCCAAGGATGAGAAGCGGCTTGCGGCCCCAGCGATCGGCTAGCCACCAGGTTGCGACGGTAGCTGCGGTGTAAGGGAGTGCGTTGGCGGCAGTGTAGAGAAGGGATTTCTCGTCGGAAAAGCCGGCGCTGGAGAGCGTGGAGGGGAGGTAGAAGGATATGATGTTTATGCCGTTGAGCTGGGCGAACATTTGGACTGTGACGCCGACGATTGTGCGTTTGCGGTAACGGGTGAACATCTCCATCCATCCAGCTTTTCCGAGCTCAGCTTCGTAGACAACAGCCTCCTGAATCTCGAGAAACACCTTTTGCACATGCGGGGCGTCGGTATCACCACTGGAATGTAGGTCTGCGACTGTTTGAAGGCTTTCTTGCATGAAACCATTGTTTGCTAGCCATCTTGGAGTTTCCGGGAGGAAGAATGACATGACCACCAAGATGAACGAGAGAATGATTTGGATGATGAATGGCCCTTGCCAAGATAGCGCGTCCGGAAGCATGAAGTGGAAGCCATAGTCAACCCAGCAGGACAACATATACCCTGCGATCAGGCACGTGTATTCGATGCCGACCATGAGACCTCGAGCATGCGGTGCCGCGATCTCAGTCTGGATGATAGGAACTGTCATAGACAAGAAGCCTACTCCGAAGCCCTGGATCGTACGTCCGACGACGAAAGTTGCGAAACCTGGAGCGAAGATCTGGATGAAAGCCGAGAGGAAGTAGATGAGACCACCGAGACGGACAGTGCGCTTGCGACCGATCATGTCTCCGAGACGTCCAGCGATGAGAGCACCCACAGCAGCGGAGGCTTGCAGGCAGGCAACTGAGATTCCTGTGATGGATGGATTCACGGCTGCTGTGCTACCATCTGCGCCACCGTACTCGCTGAAGAAACGCCTGACGAATACTGGGTTAACTAGTAGGCCAGACATGATACCTGGCGGAATCAGTATTGTTGATCAACATGCAAGGACCAAACGTACCTGAGTTGTAACCAAACAAGGCATCACCAAGACTGCCAAAGCCACATGTTGCAAACAATAAGGTCTTGCCCTTGATAGGGTACCTGGCGGTGATCTTCTTCGGCTTTAGCTTGCTTTCAAGCCATCCCTGTTCAGCAGCGACCTGTCCAGCTATTTGCGAGGCGCGTTGCTGGATGTTGGCGCTCTGACTGGCCACTGAGTTACTACGGGCAGCCATGTTCTCAACCAGTATGGAGCAAGATATGAGTAGAGAAGTAGTGCGTGTTACGGAGCACACGGAGGAGATGCGGTGGGATGATGGAGAAATCTGGGGAAGCCTGACAGCTTTATCGTCCCCAGATTTTCGCAGTGGAGCGCATTCGGCATCATCGCGTGTAGTCAGGTCATGTTACGGTTCCGGTCCTAACGTTGGCCCTGCAGCGACGAAATTTGGTCGGCATATGCTAGTGTGTTTCTCGAGAAGTTGATCAACGCTGTAGCGCTAAGGGATGCTTTGCCAGCCAATTAGAAACGCTTTTCTCAAAAGCCGCGGAACCGGTGCTGGGGCAGAAAACTCCGGGCTGGCGGCTCCGACTCGTGAACATCGGAAGGTCAGCAGCCTGCATGAGCCGCCGGAACCGTACTGCAGTCGCTCTCGCACTCGGGCAAGAATGCCTGGCCGGTAATATAGTCAGAGCATCAAGATGGACACATCAATTCTAATCATTGCCGTACATTGTGTTTCGCAGTAATGTTTTCTCCAGCTGATGTTCACGAAGCGAAGAAATCCTCCGGGTCTTTGACGCTGCCAGAGGACCAATGCAAAGCACCGATCAACACGTCCTTCGTCCTGAGCCCATCGAGGCAGTTCTCATACGAGGATGGACCAGTTCCGAGTCTTCCAACTCCTAGGCATGTTCGCGTAAGGATTGTGGCTACCGGTCTTTGTGGTTCTGACGTACGTATCGCCCGCTGTGGTCTGTAGTGTGTTCGTCAACATTGACGGCGATCTAGGTACATTACTGGCAATTTGGGTGCATAGGCAGATATGTAGTCGAAAGCCCAATCACCCTCGGTCACGAGTCTGCTGGTATTGTCGATGCCTGCGGATCAGATGTCAAAGGGCTGTCCGTGGGCGATCGCGTCGCATTGGAACCTGGCGTAGGATGCAACACCTGCGAGACATGTCGCAGCGGCCGATATAACCTATGCGAATCGATGCAGTTCGCTGCTACCCCTCCCTACAATGGCACGTTATCGACCTTCTACAGCCTACCCGAAGAGTGCTGCTACAAGCTGCCGTCACACATATCCTTCCGTGAAGGTGCCCTCGTGGAGCCGCTAAGCATAGCTGTGCATTGTTGCGGACTCGCCGGAAGTCTTCAGGGCAGGTCTGTGGCGGTATTCGGGGCCGGGCCCATAGGCTTGCTGTGTTGCGCCGTAGCACAGGCTTTCGGCGCTGCGAAAGTCGTGGTTATTGACGCAGTGGCCCCCAGGCTGAGCTTTGCGACCGACTTCGGTGCCGACGACGTATACATGATGGAAGCTGGGTTTCCAGAAACGAATGCTCAGAAAATGTTGGAGAAGGCTGGCCTGGATGCAGGGTTTGATGTTGTGATCGATGCAACAGGAGCAGAACCATGCATCAACTGTGGTGTAGCTGCATTGAAACGCGGTGGAGTCTTCGTTCAAGCTGGGCTGGGCTCTCCCAAGATCGCATTTCCAATCGGCCAGATTTGCGACAAAGAAGCTACGCTCAAAGGAAGCTTTCGATACGGGCCAGGAGACTACAAGCTGGCCATCCAGCTACTAGAGTCCAATCGTGTTCAACTAGATAGTCTCATTACTCATGAGTTCGCGTTCTCAGATGCGGAACAGGCTTTTCAGAATGTTGCGGATAGAGTCGGCATCAAGTCGCTCATATTTGGACCAGGCATCGATAGGGCGTTCGCAGAGGGTCGCACCGAGCAGCACACGCGTTTGTCTGATCTTCCGAGGCTCTAGTGTATGATGCGCTGAACACATATCGCAATCACAAAATTGCTCGAATTGAGACGCGTGCCCACCAAAGGATGTTTGAGATGCGACAGCTAGAATTGTGGCTCGTTCCAGACGGAATCCCAGAACCAGTATAGGCCGTTGCCAGTAACATCAACACCATTGTCATCGCTAATCCAGTCCAGCTCGCCTTCGAGGTTGAAGTCTCCGGCGCTAGCATTTGTCCAATGATTGTGTTCGTTAGGCAGGTGATTCATGCCACCGTCGTTCGTGTCCCATTGCGGGACATAAGCTGTGTCGTCACGGGAGACGCTGTCGAGGGCGGCGGGAAACACTGTGAAGAGTATGTGGTTAGATTGGTACGCAGCTTCGGGAATGCATCATTCTTACCTCTCTGCACTGACGCCATGCTCTCGTGAACGCGCTGCATGCTGTCTACTGTGCTCTGTTGCTGTCTGTTGTGTCCACTCGGTGGCAGTTGCGTCGGCAGACGAAGGGTATCCTCGACAGACATCTGCACCGTCCCGGTGTGCGATCTTGTCACATCGCTCTCGCCAAAGATAGCATCTGCTTCTCTGCGCAGTAGCATCTGGATGACGTCTTTGAGGACCGCATTACTCTGCATCGAGAGCTGTGTCCTTTTGCCGAGTAGCTCTTGCAAGCGAAATATGCGTGTGATGGTCCTTTTCACTTCCTGTGCTCTGTCCGAGAGGGGATCAGACAGCGCCAACACAGCCATGACGATGGCAGAGTTGAACAGATTGATAGCCAAGAAAGCTACCAGGTGGCTATCAGTGGCTAGCTGAGAAAGCCGCGGAAGTTCAGTCACCTTCGATGTCCTCAACGCGGCGTCCCACCATTGCTCCGTGCTCGACATATGGCTTCTGTTGAGCGGGCTAGATTCATGAACCGCATGAAATGGGGATTCGGTGTTCGTAAGGCTTGCTGGAGATAGCGCGTTACCATGCCCGCTTTCCGGTTGCGTCCTGATGAGGTGGTCCACTTGTTTTGCGATTAAAGGGCGATTGAAGATGATGAGGAGGTTGTCAAATGTAAGCTGGAGGGACAACGCTTGCAGCTGGTGCACCCGTGCGGTGCGTGATTGATCCATACTGCAGTCAGCAGCCATGTCTAGTAGAAGATGAGGCGGCAGACGTCGGCGCCACGCCCAAAGCTTCTCCGTCACGTCCGTGATCTGATCAGTGTATTGAGGTCCGCTCGGCCGTTCGTTGGGTCCCACCGCCCGCATCCCGAAGATGGTCTCGATGATGGGTGACGCGATAAGGTAGAGTTTGTTGAGCTCTCGTTGGTAGGACGAGTAACATATTGTTAAGTCGGCTTCTGGAGGGTTCGTCCCTCTGAAGTAGGGCGACTCGCATACGTCAATCGGGTGGTGTGTATTGCAGTCCTTCTCGTTGATGCCGATGGGTCGTCCGTACGTAATGGAAGCGAACCTGGTCAAGTTAGCTAATGATACTACAGTATACGAGGAGGCTCAGACTCTGTACTGAGGCCCTTCATATCTTCAGGGAGGAGCGCATTACCGGTCCCATGTGTAGATAGTCCACCAGACCCTTTTCCTCTCTTCGATATAGTGAGGGTCGCCTCGTAGCGGCTGGCGGTGGAGGCCAATGGCTTGTGCCGTTCGAATGGTTGCGCCTAGTAATGCAAAGGATAGATTAGGCTTCCCATGGTAGACATAGTAGGAGCCGAGCAAGATACACGTCTGAACAGACGAGATGGTACTCTGGTCCATCAATTCAGCCAATTGGGAACCCGCGCCTTGAACGAGGGACTGCGACCAGGCGTGCCAATCCTCGTCTGGGAAGTCCGGATCCACGTCCTTCCTGTGAGACTTGTACCATGCTCCCATTCCCACAACTGTAGACAAGAGGAGGAGGAATGACTTCTGCGACGGATAAGCAAGGCCGTCCTTGATAGAGTCGAGTTTTGGCCGGAATCTTGGCTCATAGATGACCAAGCTAAACCAATGCACCGAGTCGAAGTACTCTTCCAAAAGTACTCGCATCATTTCGATTGGTGGCAGAGGGTGACCGAGGACTGCCGCTATAGGGCGTCTCTGAGTACGATCTAAGCGAGATGTTGGGGCTCTGCCATAGACATTGCCGCCCGGTATAGCTGATGTAGTCCGGCTCAATGTTGGCTGACTTCCCAGTCGGTAGATCTGGTGCGCAATATCCATGGCTGAGTTGGCTTCGCCTTCTGCGATACTGGCACGCCTGCTCTCATCGCGACTGTTGCTTTCTGGATCTATAGTTTGATGCGTACCTTCATGATGCTGAATTGGAGCCTGCGGTTGCTCATGTGAAGCTTCGTGGGAGGGGCCTTGAGTGCGTCTCCTCTTCGGTGCGCGTGGAACTTCGACATTGCTTACAATGCATTCGACGTTTGCTCGAATGCAGAGCGCGCAAGGGCGCGATGTGTCGCACTTGGATACTCAGTCGGCGGCGCGCGTGACAGGCGGTGGGAGGGCGTGACTGACTCGGCTCTTGTTGCGACGACACCTCTCACACGCCTTGCTGACCCTGGTGGGTAGCGGACGCCCGACAGCGGCATCAAGAGTTGCCGAAGACATTATTTGGGTGGTGCCGTGGATGATGTTGCGATGGAACGGGTGAGGGCGCGCACGCGTCAGGCACGCCAGGTCAGCTGCGGAGCTCGCCGAGGTTTGCACGGTCGCCGTCGATGCCGCTGCCACTGCACTTTCGCGTCGTTTCCGCCCACCAACCAATGGTATTTTCTTCGCTTTGCGTGTCGCCGAATGCGCTTCACAGGTGATTAACTACGCAGTATTAGACAACTCGCGCGCCTGATTCTCTCCGTCATTCCGCCTCAATGTTACAGATCCAGCGCTTTCACCAACCTCATCAGGTCAGCACCAACAATCATCGAATATAGCACCATATCGCTTTCTGATATCACCGAGCGTGATCGCGGTCATGGAACGTGGTCAAGATGGAGACGCGCCATCCGAGGTCTTCGTGGACGAACAGCCGCCTCCAAAGCGACGGCGAACATCAGAACAACCTGCTCGGGAGGTGGGGTTGATGCGAAGCGTCCCTGGTGACAAGTTCACGGGCTTCGTGGGCAGTGCCAGCGGCATCTTCTTCATTAGGTCAGTCTATGGCGCGATCCGACGCTATGCAGTGCCTACAGACGGCGAAACGCCCGGCAGCGACATCGTGCCAGGCGAAGACGATCATCTCTCTCTAGTGCAACCGAATTCCTCCGGACGCTTATGGCGAGAAGCTGAGATCTCACACGGTCAGACCTCTTACATAACGTTTCGCGATCTGGTCGCTTTTTCTGGGAGCTATTTTGCGAATTGGCACCCGTTCTACCCCTTCGTACACGCCACAACCGTCCTAGAGTACTTCGATTCTTATGCAAGAAATGGCTTTCCCGATCATGGTGCTTCGGAAGACCTACAGCTGGTGATAGTGCGTTCGATCATGTCCATCTCGCTTGCAGACCATCGACAATCGCCAGGGCTACCGAGCACTCGACATCCTGCCTGTATCGTCTTTCCATCGTATGATGCTGCTGTAGATAGTCTCCGAACGATACTTTCTCGTCCCACGACAATACTCACGCTACAAGCCGCACTCAGTGTGCAGCTCTTCTTAGTCTCTATGCTTCGCTTGAACGCCGCCTCCCGTCTTGGAGGGCTGATAATGCGGATGGCTGTGCAGCTAGGCCTTCATCGTTGCCCAGCCAGATTCTCGACCTTTACATCAAGCACAAAAGAGCTTCGGCAACGCGTCTTCTGGTCACTTTATGCTGTTGATCGGCTTCTTGCCCAATCCATGGGCCTCCCACTCGGCCTACCTGACGACGATATCGACGTCTGCTTTCCCCTCGCGGAACACCATCTGCAGACGCGCGTCGAGCCTCGTAAGTTAGGTAGTGTTTCTTTTGTGCCATATCTCACAAGCTGCAGGTCGTGAACTCCACCTGCTGCACCTGGTTGCCCAGCAAGCCAGGCTGCGTGGCGAAATCATCGAATTGCGCAACAAGTCGCTACACTACGTCCAGCATGATCCTGACCGAGCGACATCAATCATAGCTAAGCTTGGCCAATGGTGGAACGATGTTGAGGACTACATCGACCCGGATAGCCGATGTGGCGCTTCTCCTTACGCAACTGCAGTGTTGACACTACTTAGACACGAGTTGATTATCTCGCTGTATCGTCCCGTCTTAGCTACCGGTAGTAAAGATGTCGCCTATAATGCCGCCTTACAACAGTGCATCAGTTCTGCGCGTAGCATCATCACTACCTTGCACACCGCTATCCAGGGCAAAGACGGGTCTCAAACGTATCATTACCAATTGGCTCTCCTTTGGCCCTCCTGCACCTGGGCTGTGTGGATCAGCACATTCATCATGTTCTACGCCGCCCACGAGGGCCGCATTGATCACAGCATCGTCATAAGGTACTCAATATGTCAACATTGTATTACCTCTACTAACGTGTACAACCAAGATTCGCAGATAAAAGTCTCGACATACTTCAACACCTCACGCTACGGGGCAGTGCTTGGCCTGAAGCAAGCTCGGCGGCCATTCGAGAGTTACGGGCTCGAATGCTGCAGAAGTCGGCTCAAATGATTTCTAGAGACGACTCGGAGGTCGTGGGAGATGCAGGCCTTGCTCAAAAAGGTGAATTGAACATACATTCAAGCCTGCACGAGCAATCATTACCTACCTGCAACGACGATCCAGAGCGAATCGGTAGCCTAAGGACGAATAATATCGATCCTCATCATGACGCGCAGTGTCCTCCATATGATGCAGCATTCGATTCCAATGCGACGAGCAACATGAACCACACTGCTACTTTTCTTGAGCACAACAGCTACTGGAACATATTCGTTGGAACGGAGGGTGCCAACGCTTCATCAACAGAGTACTCCAACGGCCTAGACCCTTTCTCCGGCTTCGACATCCCCTTCTGGTTTGATCAAGAGCAGCATTGGGATTTCACATAGTTTCAAGCGCCAGGATAAATTCGAAGTGCTGGGTGTGGTGGCATGGTTTGGGAGCGTCGGACTTTGATTGTCCGCGCTCCCCCGCACTTACCCTTATCCAGCGCACCAGTGGCGAGCTCGGCAACAGTCCCATCGTCGACGAAGTGTGAATATGGGGTTTCTTAGTCCGGACTATGAGGCTTAAAAGATACTGCGCATAGAACCTCGAGAGATATCAACTCAAGTGCTTACCTCCGTTACGATCAGTCATTAGCCGTTACTCCCTGTCCCAACCCAACATTCCATCAGCCACCAACATGCGCACGCATTCTATTGCGACAATGGGCGCCGATGGCATTGGCCCTGAAGTTGTCAATGCCGGCGTACAAGTATTGAAGAAGCTGGCACAACTTGACGGCACATTCGGACTACAATTTGAAGACTACGACTGGAGTTCTGAGACCTACAAAAAGACCGGCCAATACATCCCCGATGGAGGATTAGAGAAGCTCAAGAAGCATGATGCAATCCTGTTCGGTGCCGTAGGTGCCCCGGGTACGTATCATATGCTGAGTCCTACGCAATGTTGGTACTGAACTCCTGACAGACGTGCCTGACCACATCTCTCTTTGGGGCTTGCGGCTAGCGATTTGCCAGACCTTCCAGCAATATGCAAACGTGCGACCCACCAAAATCTTCCGGGGAACATCATCGCCTTTGCGCAACGCAGAGCACGGCGACCTAGACTGGGTGATTGTACGAGAGAATTCTGAAGGTGAATATGCAGGACAAGGAGGCCGGTCGCATAGAGGCCAGAAGTGGGAGACCGCCACGGAGGTCTCGATCTTCACCCGCCATGGTGTGGAACGACTTATACGCTTCGCCTTCGAAACAGCACAAAGCAGGCCGAGGAAACAGATCACAGTCGTTACTAAGAGTAACGCTCAGCGCAACGGCATGGTTATGTGGGATGAGATTGCCGCTGAAGTTGCGAAAGACTTTCCTGATGTCAAGTGCGACAAGATGCTCGTCGACGCCATGACGTGCCGGATGGTACTTGATCCGAAATCTTTAGATACGATAGTTGCAACAAACTTGGTAAGTAACACCCAGTGTACTGTGTATTCACCTCGGCTTTAGCTGACTCGTCCAGCATGCGGATATTCTTTCCGATCTCGCAGCCGCACTGGCAGGCTCCATTGGCATCGCTCCTACCAGCAACCGTACGTATTCTTCATTTCCACATGGTTGCATTCATTGCCCATGCTAAGTGTTACCAGTGGACCCCACACGCCAGCATCCGTCCATGTTCGAACCGATTCATGGCTCGGCTTTCGACATTACCGGCAAGGGTGTCGCAAACCCAGTCGGAACCTTTTGGACAGCGTCTGAGATGCTAGCATGGCTAGGCGAGGAGCAAGCGGCAAAGAGATTGATGGAAAGCGTGGAAGCCATCACGGAGCGAGGCATTGCCACGCGCGACCTGGGAGGCAAGGCGTCGACAAAGGAGGTTACTGACGCGGTCTGCGCTGAGCTAGAAAGCATCTACGGTAAGAGTCAGTAGAAGGCAGGGTCATGATGGGGTGGGCCTGATGATGCGGCAACGTTAGCCGCTGGCTCCAACCTGGTGGAGCGGACGTTGTCCGGTGCAAAACCTGACTCGTAGCCGATGCGATTGTCCTTTAGGCCAACAACGCCATGTGCGAGCCATCACGATAGCTTGAAACCGCCATATTGTTAAGTTCAGAGATCAGCAACACCCGTCCATATCCGCGCATGTCGATCGTGGCTACGTTACCTTTGATGAAGCCACCACTGCCACGAAGCCATTGTTGGGACCTTATGTGAAGTTTAAAGCAGAGCCTCTGCCGATCTCTTGTTTCCCCTATGCGGTCGCACACCCAAAAGAGGCGACGATTGACAGCATCTCCATCGGTCGCATTAACCCGAGGCATGCTGGCATCACTAGCCGTCTGCAACATGAAGCAGTGGATACCTGAGCGACCAACCCGGAGCTAGCCCCCGCATCCTACCCATCCTTCCCCGCACACCACCGAATCATCATTCCCTGTATGCGGTCGCCCAAGCTCAACTGCCGTGGGATTAAGGCATCCCCCACCACCACCACATTATAGTGTCCGTCGCATCTTCGACAATTTAGGATTGCTTCCACGCTTCTTCCATCCATCTGCTGTGCGATCTAGATTGCTTCTTTGCATATCGTTTATCCTTCCACGTGTGCTCCCTTGCGCTACCATTCCAATCACACCGCGGACATAGAGTTACCATGCCTTTGGGTATACTCCAAGACTACAAGCTCGAACATGTCCCTGGGACAGCTCCGTTAAGCGAGCTTGGTCGCATTGATCTCGAGATCACGAACGATGTTGATCGCGGGCTGCTGAAGCATGATCCTACTGGGCAGATTGTGCTGGTGCCGCAGCCTTCTGATTCGCCGAACGACCCCTACAATTGGCCAAGATGGAAGAAGGAGATGTTCACCGTCGTCATCGCATATGGATGCGGTGCTGTAGGAGGTAGGCTCGCGACATCAAGATACCACATACTGGGCTAATCGCATGTTTTGTAGCCGTCGGTCCGCTGCTCACACCAGCTTTCGTGCCCCTAGCAGAACAATTTAACGTCCCATTACAGAGGTTCACTCTGGGTTGCAATGGATCCTGCATCGTCGCCATCGCAGTGGGTAGTCTCATATGCAACACCCTAGCCGTCAAAATTGGGAGACGACCAATCTACCTCGCGACCACGGTAGGCCTGGCGGTGTCCTGTTTCTGGGCTGCGGAAGCTACCAGCTTTCCCTCTCTGGCGGCAGCCCGAGCGGTCCAAGGTCTTTGCATGGCACCGTTTGAAGCGCTCATCCCAGCATCCGTCGGAGACATCTGGCACGTTCATGAGCGCGGATTCCGAATGGCCATCTTTAACCTTGGTGTCCTCGGTGGTATCAACCTAGCGAGTCCAATCGCTGGATCCGTCATCCAATACGGCTCTCACCGCATCGCATTGCACGCAATGGGCGGTGCTTTTGTCATCATGCTCATCCTCATCATCTTCTTCATGCCCGAGTCCGCCTACCACCGCCACGACGTCATCAACATCGACACGAGCTCCAAGAATGTGGAAAGTGACGCGGTTGAGAAGGAGAAGTCCGCCGAGCGCGTCGAAGACTATGCGGTCCAGTCGTCCGTCTCTTCCGAGGCCCCATACCCTTACGTCAAGACTCTCATGCCATGGTCTGGCTACTGGGATCATGTCTCCTTCTGGCGCACATTTCTACGCCCCTTTGTGGTGATCATGAGCCCAGTAGTCATGTGGGCGACCTTGCTCTTCACGATCTGTGTATCATGGCTTGTCTTGATCTCCATCACGCTGTCGCAAATCTTCTCCGCTCCACCGTACAGTTTCTCCGTCAGCGCGGTTGGCGCAACCAATTTATCGTCGTTTGTGGCGTCGCTGCTGGCCACGCTGGTAGCAGGTCCGATTATCGATGGTGTGGCGAAATGGATGTCGACACGCAACAAGGGTACTTTCGGTGAGTGCAGACAGCCCAAGCTGTGATTACGATCAACTGACAATGTCTTAGAACCTGAGTTCCGTCTCCCTGTCATGATAACCTACCTGATCTTTACCGCAACCGGCTTCTTTGCTTGGGGCCAATCACTCCACAACCGCGATCCGTGGCCCATCCCAGTCATCGTCTGCATGGGTCTGATCAACCTGGGTGTTCAGCTGGGAACTACCGCCGTCGTGACCTACGTCTCCGACTGCCATCGCGAGCAGGCCGCCGAAGCCTTTGCCATCATGAACTTTGTCAAGAACCTTTTCGCATTCGGCCTGACGTTCTACGCCAATGACTGGATCGCAGTACAGGGTGTGAGAGACGCGTTTTATGTCATTGGTGGAACCACTGTCGCTGTCACACTTTGCACGATTCCAATGTACATCTACGGCAAGCGTGCGAGGAGTTGGGTGAAGAGATGCGGAGTACTCGATAGTGTTCTCAAAGCCGAGTAGAGGATTAATCGTGCGACGAGAAGGGCCTGCGTGTCTCGTGAGCGTTTCCTAGTGTATTCCAAACTCTAGAATGTATTACCGTAGCAATATTTTTTCAAGCTTTCGATCGTGTCATAGGTCCAGTGCCGACCACAGCGTGATGAATGGCCAGCATCGCCTTCCAAGCGTAAACTGGTCCTGCGGCTGCCGACAATCGGCATCTTTGGTGGTTGACTCGTGTGACTGAGAAGAGCCGCCTACCTGACTCAGTCTGACTGGCATCGCAGCAGCATCTGCCAGACACTCCTCTCGGGTTCTAGAAGTAGTTTTCGTGCCATCTTGCTGGATCAGTGGGAGCTCGCTGCATGTTCGGTGCTATAGGCATTTCGCAGTCTTTCAGTTGCTGCAGGACTGACACTGGTGGGGATGTATCGCCGGGTATCTGGCGAGAAGCGTGCGCACCACTATTCTGTCGACCTTCGGCTGCCCTGGATGTCTTGCGCGCTCCGTCGCGATCAGGGACGGAATTGCTGTGTCTCAACGGAAATACTTCCGGGGGTGCCGTCTCGCGAAACTGTGCTTGTAGCCAAGCTGTCAACTGCTCGGTCGTCTGCAAAGGCAGGCGCTTCCATTCTTCAAGCTTTTCTGCTTTTGAACCGTGTCGCTTTGGTGCGTGAGATGATGGATCTGAAAGCCTTACGTCGTTCAACCGTATCAAGTCTTGATTTTGGACGACAGTGAGTGTTGCGGAGAGTGCAGCCTCGGTGTCTGCCAGCCGCTTCTCAAGAGCAGTGATGTATGCGGCGGGAAGACCTCGCTTACCACCCTCTTGATAGTGGCATGGCAGCGATGATGTCTGGCATTGAGAACAGCATGGGCTGTGTTGGTTAGATGAAGTTCTGCAGCTGGCATGTGGGTTACCCACAGCTTCCGATCGCACTTGCACTTCTTCGATCTGCAATTCTCGCATGCAATGGCATTCAACTGAACCTCCAGATCGCAATGTCAGTGTATTTACCACAGTGCTGGACGAATTCGCGCACCGCTTCAGTCATAGTGGGATGACGATGGAAAGTGTTGGAGTTTGAGGAGGCTGGAGCTATCCGGAATGTGTGGCTTGGTGATCTGTGCGCCACGAGGGGAGCCAGCCCCTAATGGCAGGCGCGTCAAGCCCTTCACGTCATCTCTCCGACGCGCCAGCACTGAGCATCTACTTCAGAGCTTGAAACGACACAAATTACGGAAGAGCAATGCTACTGAGCAGAATGCGCATCGTGAATTGGTGTAAGCTCATGCTGAGACCCGCCTGCGAATCGATTGCCGTTGCGGCACTACCGCCTGAAGAATGCCCGGATTTTTGGCCCGCCAGTCCAGCCTCTTTCGCACTTTGTCGCCCAGATCAGTCGAGAAGTTGGCGATACTGTGCGAAAGAACTTGTGGAGGGGCAGGAGAATTTCCCCCGCATTCGACCTTACCTGTTGTACCACGGACCGCGCCATACACGGCTAGTGCTGAGGTCCATGTCGGGCATCGGGTCATTTGAGTCCAGCCCTGCATACATCCCCGGACCTGAGTACACGGTCTTGATATTGAAGCTGACGGTGTTGAGTAAGGCAGACTATCATAACACGGCATTTATCCGCACGGCAGAGAGAATTAGCCTCATATTTCCAGGTATGGAGCAATGACACTTGGTGGTGGTTGTATCGTCGCAAGACAGGCATTCGTATTTCCTTTGATCAACGGTCATGCTTCATGATGAAGGATGCGCCAACCGTACCACCGGGCACAAACCCCGCAAAGCCAAGAAGAAAGCGAGGCAGATCCAGCATCCCTTTGTCGGTTCGACGGTTTCTTTGAACCGGTGAAGTGCTTGGCTTCGAGTATGTAAGTTGAAGAAGTGCCATCCTGACGCTACACTGAGTACCTATCTCAACCGGAAAAACTATGGCACCAGCAGTTGCAGGCCCTGGCGACGGCATTATCGAGCGCCTCGTCGCCGCCGATACGGTACGATGGTGGAACAAGCCAAACCTCCGACGTCTCTACCTATTGCTGGTACCTTTCTGCTTCTTCATTGAGTCTACTTCTGGATTTGATAGCTCAATGATGAATGGAAGTAAGTAGATACTACTACGGAGTTCCTTGAGATGTGATACTGATCAAGTATGACGCTTTCAGTGCAAGCTCTTCACTACTGGCAAGAATACTTCAATCATCCCAAAGGAGGCCAACTCGGATTGCTTGTCGCCTGCTACAACCTCGGCGCTATATCGAGTATTCCGTTCGTTTCCATCGTGTCTGATCATCTTGGAAGGCGGAAGAGTATCGTCTTGGGGTCCACGATTATGATCATCGGAGCAGTAATGCAGGGCTTGTCGCAGAACCGTGAGTACCTTCAGCATGCTTATTGCATTCAGACATTCTTGTAACTAACACGCATGCAGTCGCCATGTTTATCTTCAGTCGAATTTTCCTTGGCCATGGTATTGTCTATGCAATTATCTCCGGCGCCGCTCTTCTCGGCGAACTAGGCCATCCCAAAGAGCGACAGTTCTTAGGTAGTCTCTTCAATGCATTCTTTGGAGTAGGCTCAGTTCTCGGAGCGGGTATAGGTGAGTAAAATATCTCCACGAAAGGTGGATGAATGCATGCTAATCTCGGCTCCGATGTATAGTCGTGCGTACGCTACTTATTCCGAGCGACTGGTCTTGGCGCCTCCCCTCCATCCTCCAAGCAGGCCCTTCTGTCATTCAAATCATCTTCGCATTCACAGTCCCGGAAAGCCCTCGATGGCTAGTTTCGAAAGATCGGAGCGAAGAAGCTCTTGAGATCTTGATCAAGTACCATGCGGAAGGCGATGCATCGGCTGAGCTACCTCACCTTGAGATTGCTGAGATCAGGAAAGCCCTGGAGTTGGAGAACGAATCGCGACAACGTGGCTGGGCCGAGCTCTTCCAATCCAAAGGCATGCGACACCGTGCCCTTGTCGCCGCCGGCCTTGGCATTTTCGTCCAGTACAGCGGCAACAATCTCATCAGCCAATACCTTGTGCCTATCCTGGAAAAGATCGGTATTGAAGATAGTCATACCCAGGTGCGCTACAACGTCGGCTCAGAAGCATGGGGCTTCCTCATGGCGCTTGTCATGGCAACTGTCACACCCCGATACCCACGTCGCAGGATGTATCTGCTGTGTGCGAGTTGCTTATTGTGCGTGTATACCGCTTGGACCATTGCTCAGGCTCGTAATCGCCAGACTGGATCTAAAGAGACAGGCTATGCGGTTCTGGTCATGATCTTTCTCTACAAGCCCGCCTACAACATCGCCTACAATGCCCTCACATATGTCTACATGGTCGAAATCTTCCCCTACTACGTCCGAACCAAGGGTCTCTCATGGTTTCAACTCTTCAATCGTTGCTCCGTCATGCTTGGATCCTTCACCAATCCCATCGGACTGGAAGACCTTGACTGGAAGTTCCTCTTCGTCTACATTGCTTTGCTGTGTTGCGAGATTGTGTTCATCTACTTCCTGTTCCCGGAAACGTACGGAAAAACATTGGAAGAGCTTACTTTCTTGTTTGAAAGTGAAAAGGATGATGCCGATGCGCTCGCTGCAACCACCGCCAAGGTCATGGGTCAGGATAGCAACGCCATCGAGCTTCATGAAGCGCCAGACAAGAAGGCCTAAGTCGCAAGTAAAGTGGTGGCTGGGACTGAGGTCGATGGATCTTGCAAATGACGTTGCATTTGGCGCTCACAAGGCGGGTTTTGAGGCCGCTTGGAAGTGAGCCGCATTCCTTCGAGCGGGTATGAAACGGTCGTGGATGAAAATAGTGGAGATGGAGACGCACAATTTGTGGCTGTTCAACACAAGTCAGTGTTGCTCGCGGTCGTCTCCGGTAATGAATCATGAACTGGTTCTCCCTTTCTCGTGTAAGATTTTGCATCGCTCATTGTGGCTCGCAATGAACACTTCGGGGTCGTGCAACATTAATGAAGCCATGGCTGACATCAGCTCAACACCTTTGCAATGTTACCCGTCTGCCCGTTCAACGTTCCGATGTAGCATGCGGCGCAGCAATATATCAAACCATACCTTGCATGCAACGCCTGAAGAGGCTGGAAATTGCGCGGATCTCCACTTCCGTTCATAAGTTTGTTTCGATGACACAACGCACCAATGGCCCGCTCTTCCATGCGACCATGACACCGATCAAGCGACAGCGGCTACAGAAAACAGATCTCCGACTGATCGGGACCTGTGGGGTATCTTCCGAACGAATGGGAATCTGGCGGCTTTGAAACAACAACAGATGGGTATAAGCTTGGCCAGTGAGGGTACGCAACGATCGCAATGCAGCCTTGATAGCCGCGACCCGGCAGACTGGATTTAGCGTACGCCGGTGTTAGTACACGTCTCAGTACTAGGGAACACCGAATCGCATGTTCAGCCTCAAGCCACCGTAGTATCAAGTCAGTAAGCGAAGTGTTGGTTGTAGAGGGAGGGCTAGCTACGAGGTGTCAGACGATGGTCCATCATAACACACCTGATATGCTTCGGCTACTCTAGAGGAAGGCAGTTGTCACGCTCCTGCTTGACACTGGGAGACGCCGTCACGTGAAGCTTGCTTCATGCATGCATGCGTTGTTTGCTTTGCACCGAGATGCCAAATGCACGATAGACGCGACGTGGAATATTCGAAAAATAGACGCATGGCTAAATATTCCACGGCGCTGATAGGTGGCTATTAATAAGTGGGGTTATCGGCCCCGCGCTTAACGATAGCGCGACCCCGCTATCTGAACCCCCAAAAATTCGTCGAAACATCCCGAGGCCGTCGTTCCCACCACCTCCACAACCACCCACGTCGCGCGAGTTCACGCGATACCTCCGAGGCTGGAAAGCGGCATCGCCATTCGCTCACCGAGCAAAACCAACATGTTTCCCCAATCCCGCGCTCCTTACATTGGCTGCAGCGTCCGATGAGGCTCGAAGCGCTTATACGACTGTGCCTCATTGATGCATCGTCATCGAAACGTGACCTCATGGAGGGGCCAAAAGCTAAGAATACGCCTAGCTGCATATGTTTTAATACTACAGCGCCAACGAGAATACGCTAGCCTAGCCATGCGGCCATCCCAGCGGTTATACACATGCTCTGTACGGCTACACCCACAGCGGTGACCCGGCTTGACAGCTCCCGACGCCCGCGCCGCACGCAGGTGTCGTGGAGATGGCCTTCAGCCGCCTTTCTTGGCATGCTTTTCTGGAGGTTGGGTCTGGTCCTTGCGGCTAGCTCGTGTCGTGAATGGTGCGTTTGCTCGGCAATGCACCGGTTTCCAGAACGAAGGCATAGTTTGCATGTACGCCGCAGTAACAGTGCTGTTTGATGTTTCGAGCAGGCTCCAATCATGGAAATGGCTTGTGGAGGCTTATACTGCAGCTCGATGTTGTTATAGTATGGTGATGGACGCCGATGGTAAGTACCTGGTATCAGTCTACTGCTTCTCTCCAGTCTGGCACTGCTCTACTATCCTGCACGAAGCAACATATTCTCATCGTTCTCCACTATCTACGTACCTAATTCGTATTCACGTATTCTTTTAATGCCTTACCCGATATCCACATCAGGCTACTATCCCAACATGTCTCGTTCTCCTCGCACTCCTATGCGTTCGCCTGCTTTTCCAGACATTCCAATCTACCTGGACACCGGCGATGAGCGCATCACCGCGAAGACATATGGTACAACACCAACTACGCCAACTACACCAGACATCATCCCTCCTCAACGCCCAACACACCTGAGCCCGTCGCATATCAACGCGCCACCCATCAGCCCGGCCGAGCCGAGCCCCACAACCACTATCGAGACCTCTAGTTGTCGTTCAATCATCTGGCCGATTCCAGAGCCACCACCAGAGGTGCAGTATCAGCAGGACTCTCGCCGACCGACCCTTCGGTTCTTCCCTACGCAGCGTCCCCGAATTCGCCTCGATGATGTCCATTCTTTACAAATTCCCTCCATCAATGAGAAGACACCCATCACTGAGCATCATCCTGGTCTCGGTATTAATGGTCTACCTAAGCCACCTTCGATCGAGATATCCCCACCCAACAACGGCGAGTCTGATTCAGGGCCAAACATAGCACAGCGAATTGAGGAGACGTTGTGGCGCTACAGTGCCTCAGGGAATGTACTGAAGCGATGGCTACTAGAACTCGTCAGCTGGCTGTTTAGTGCTGTCTGTATGGCCGCTGTCATTGGTGTACTCATCAAGCTCAAGGATGAGCCATTGACCAAATGGGCCTTGGCGGAAAAGACTGGTCTGACACTCAACGCGTATATATCGATCCTCTCCAAGATGGCTGGTGCTGCCTTGATCCTTCCAGTATCCGAGGCGCTGGGTCAGCTGAAGTGGAGCTGGTTCCTGGAGCATTCCAAACAGATGTGGGATTTCGAAATCTTCGACAACGCATCTAGAGGACCGTGGGGCTCTCTCTTGCTGCTCGTACGGACCAAGGGGAAAGCTCTGGCCGCTTTAGGGGCCATGATCATGCTTTGCTCGTTGGCTCTGGATCCATTCTTCCAGCAAGTAGTAGACTTTCCGGATCGTTGGGCGCTACAAGAGAAGGGTAGCACCATACCCAGGGTTGTAGACTATCGGCCCGCATTCGTGCCTGCGTTCCTTGGCGGCTTCGAGATGGCATCGGAAGACAGGGCCCTTGCTTCTGTTGCCAGGGAGTTCTTTTACGAAAATGGCACTACGGTTGTTCCATTTGGAAATGGTAAGTAAAGTCGTCATGCGGACTATGTACGAGACATGCACTTACACTGGATACAGGAACCAGACCTGACATTCCTCTCTCTTGTCCCACCAGCAACTGCACTTGGCCCGAATACGAGACTTTAGCAGTCTGCAGTACTTGTTCAGACGTGTCTGACGAGCTTGATCTTGCGTACGCTTGCATGAACAGTACTATAGACTGGAGCGTAGATTGGATTGGCCCACCAGGCGATATGCCCTATCCGAATGGCACATTGTGCGGCTACTTCCTCAATGCGACCAGCGATGCGCCGATCTTCATATCCGGATATGTTGCCGATGCAGAGACGCAATCCGGACTCGGTGAAGCTCTCCTAGTACGCACAGTCCCGCTCACCGATTTCGATACGAAGATGCCACTCTATGGTGCAGGTTCTATCAAATTCAAGAGCAGACGGCACGTTCTGTTCGACGCCCTCATTGCCTCAGCAGCAGCTGGGCCCTCTAGCGTTTACGAGAAGAAGGCTCCCATAGTACACGAGTGTGTACTGTCATGGTGTGTCCAAACCATCAAGTCATCCTATGAGTATGGTCAATACAATGAGAACATCACATCCACCTTCTTGGACGATGGCCCGGGACCCGCATCATGGCCTTGGGAAAGCTTCGACACCGAAGGCGGTGTCTTCTTCGTCTACGCCCAGAACATCACCATCGAACCACCCGCTGCAAGCCGCTCGCCGTTGACGATCTTCAACGAAACTTATCAGCTCGACAACTACACTGCCATGAATGCTTTGACTTACTTTGACGATTTCTTTCCTTCGTACTATACTGCCGAGAACACGACTGCGACGCCGCGGATCAGGTACAGAAACTTTGAAGGCGGTCCAACTAGTCAGGAAATGGTTTTCAATGCGTGGGAAGCTCCAAACAACGTTACTCATCATGTCGAGAGACTAGCTACAGCTATGACTAATGTCATAAGGTCATCACCTAGCAAGAAGATGATTAATGGTGAAGCCTACAGTCGAGAGAACTACGTTTCGGTTCGCTGGGAATGGCTCACGCTTCCTCTTGGTCTCCTTTGTATTTCTTTCATTTTTCTGGCCGCGACTGTTGCTAAGTCCGCTGTGGAGCGGGATCGAGTTGGGGTGTGGAAGACGTCCGCGTATGCAACGTTACTGTACGGCCTACCGGATGAGATGCAACAAAAGATCACCAGATCTGGCAGCACTGGAACTCCGAGAGCCAAAGCAAAAGAACTGAAAGTAAAATTACAACCTAATCATGGCTGGAGGGTATCCGGGAATTTGTTCTCCCCATTCGTCTCCAAACCGAGATCGAATCAACCACCTCCGGGCTGGATCTGAGCTGCCCAGCAGTCGACAGAAAGAGAAGGAAAAAGAGCTCGCTTTGATGATGTCTCAAAGTCGTCGCCTTCTGGTACACTTGGTAGCAGAGGCATAAAAATACAAATTCGACTTCCATATTACCTCACCAACTTCCGAAAAGTGCTTCGATTCCTCGCTCAATGATGGATCTCTTCGGATTGGCACCATGTCCACGAATACCTCTTGGGTTGGCACCATGTCCACGGATACCCCTTGGGTTGGCACCACTTCCGCGAATGCCTCTTGGGTTGGCACCCTTTCCACGAATGCCTCGAGCACTGATGCTCCTTGGATTAGCACCCTTCCCACGGATACCTCTTGGGTTGGCGCCATGTCCACGGATACCCCTCGGGTTGGCACCTTTCCCACGGATGCCTCTCGCGTTGATGCTTCTTGGGTTGGCGCCCTTTCCACGAATACCCCTTGGGTTGGCACCGTGTCCTCGAATGCCTCTCTCTTCCAGGCTATCCTCGGCTTCCAATGAGTCTGTTCCATCATCCAAGTCGTCTTCATCGTCCTCTGATGTCAAATCTTCACTACGGCTCTCGACAAATACATCGTACGTCGACACTTCGGGAAGCGCTTCGATGATGGGAACTCGACGGAAGAGGTCTTGGAAACGTTTGACTACAGATACGTCGCTGCGGCTCTCGATGAACGAAGGGTCTCTTGGGACGACATGCTGCCTATGTGTTAGTCTTGTTTCGATCACCACTGGCCTCGGCTGTTGCTTACATCATATGAAGCTACAGGTGCAGCGAAGTTGGGAAGGGCTAGAGCCGCGACTACAAGAAAGATACGAGCGTGCATGGTGAACAGCGCAGTGGTGGTCCCTGGTAGTGGTTGCTGTCGTCAAGTGGCAGTGGCGGTCGTGGAGCGGGATGGTATGTGGGCACCAATATGTAAGAGTTGGGGTTCGAGTGGGTTGTGCGCTTGCAATGATCTCAGCCGATGAGACTGCAAACGTAGGAAATGCTCGAGCATTTATCCGTCGACTTGGATCTCCAGCAACGACGACATTCGAACATCACACGACAGGCTCATTTCCACTATCCCTCCACGGCGCTTCAACCCGCTATGGCCTCACACTGATAACCGCCTCTGAGGCCACCCACACGACACGCTATGCATGGGACAGCGAGAGACAAGGTTCGCGTCATGCGCATCTTGTACGATCATTGGGGAGACGGGGTGTGGGCATGATCGCTGGGTACCAATTCGGCAAGGTGAAACGCAAAGGCCGAGTTATTGGAACACAAGGCGTTAGGCATGGTGCTCGTGGAGGCCTGCGAACGCGACGCAATGGACCAGGAGATTTCCGCGGATTTCATCACACTGAGTTATCACGTTCGAAGCGCTCGAAGAGCAGGGCTTTCTACAAGGCGACTCTACAGAGTCGAGATTCTGTAAGTACGGTTCATCACCTGCAATTGCCCTAATTTTCATCAAGTGCAAGAACGAATTCTAACCAATTGAAGGGTTCTAACGGTGTGATGTGGCTTGGCGGCGTTTTGAACCGACCCCGGGAGTCGAAGCGATTGGTCCTGCACGATTGGTACCTTACGCCAATCAACCGTCCCCGCGACCTAGTCACAGACTGTCCGCACACGTGACTCACCCAGCGTTACGCTTTCGTCAGTCTCTTCCGCCGAGATCGATAGACATTCAAGAAGCTTGGTTCGCAAGATGAAGTCACAGTTTTGACTATTGCTACTGCATTCAATTCTCCTTTGTTTTTTGTAGAGTTATCCTTTCGTCAGACAGCTGAGATGGATTCGCATTTGCTATGTTTCCATTGATTGAGATGCAATGTACATTTACCAGGGTTTCGACCATTTTGACAACTCTGGCTAGATCTCCCGAATACTCCCAAGCCCAGTTCGTGATGGACTGACATTGATCTGTACGAAATTCTTCCGTTGCAACACGACTCTGCATTGGACTTCAAGATAGCCAATAGTCTGAGGTACGGTGATGGTTGACCAATCGCACGCTACGACTAAGCGCTCGACTTCCACACTGACGTTATCTCGAAGCCCCAACCATGTGCCTTACAGAGATCACCCACGATGTGGCTGCAATTTCACCTTCACTTCCGCTGCGGTGTTGCGAGGGAAACCATGCAACACACGCTCGGCGAGCCCATGCGCAAGCAATCACAAAGTCCATGCAATGTGATATCAACCACGCCCAGGGCTTCGTCCTTGATGCATCCCGATACCAAGGTCTCTCGGACAGCCTCAACGTACGCGGCCGTCTCGGCGACCACTTCAGCTTCCACATGAGAACGTGGCCAAGCAACCTTGGAGTGCTGCGTTCATAATGCTCGTTCGCCTGATGTGGTTCCGACCCGTCTTTTGGGTTGACGGTAAGTAAGCGCGAGACACTCATCGCTTCACCGTGTATTCGTTGGTAGTACCAATCGTGCATGTCTGGGTAGGGATGGACGGTACCTGGGTATACGCATGGCAGTACTACGTGGTCCCTTGAGCTTAGCATCTCCCTGTCGAGACATGCGCAAAACCGCATTCCCTCCTACGTCATAAGACTCATCTGTGTTTGCGTGCGACACCTCCCTATCATCTCATACAATTCACCCTGGGCATGCACTTCATCAGCAAAGCTCCCCAGGTCTCGATCAACGTGCCGCGAATGAAATTCACTTGCAGAGGCACCTCATTTTTTTATTTATCCTTCGTCCATAGCCTTGACTTAGCGGGATAGATACAGTGACAGTAGTCATTCAGAGCCCTAATGTTTCTGCCAGCTGCTCAGGTGCAGTTCGGTCTCGCTTTAACCCGGCATAATACGCATGAAGAGGGGAGTGCAATCGTTTAGAGTCATCAGGTTATGGATACACGACTATAAAGATATGCTTCAGTTATGGGTACTGCCGCGATAGGTACCTAGGTAGCACAAATTCTTTGGGGTAGCTTCGACTCCAGGGCTCGCTGCTCAAGATCGGGCCGCTATTTCCAGGCCCCGTCGGGTGGCCCCACCCCCTCGCCTCGAACAGGCAGCCTTGCGCTCTGCCTAGCGTCCCCCCCATGATGACAGCTCAACTCCAGCGCTTAACTACTCATTGCACTTGTCAATCCATGTGGCTCTCAACGGTTCAATACGCAGTAGCGACGGCAATGCCACGCCTCGGCGCTACCACGATGGCACGATCTCGGCCCCTTATCGCCGCGAAACCCGCTGTGGGCGCTAAGTCTCCCGCTCTGACAGGTCTAACGATGATGCCGAGCGTGTATAGGAGACTTTCCCATCGCCAACCTCAACTTGTTAACCATACCCGCATGCAGACTTGGTGATCACTAACTGCTCTAGAACCTGAGCCCAGAACTGTGCTGCGCTTTCTACGCGAGCTGCAGAACGTTCGGCGTTTAAGCGCTCGATTGTTGATCGAACTGACATACTACAGGAGGCTAACAATGATGGTATTCAGCACTGCTTTCAGGGCGTCACCTCCTGACCGCTCATGTGGGCTCCAGATCCCGTCAAAGGAACATTTGCATAATGTCACGACCACGCGGAGGACTCCTACCTCTTACACTCGTGCAACGGCAGCATCCGTACTCGTCATCTCCGAATCAAGGGCCCAACACGACTCCTCCGCCATCCTATCGAGCTTCTGTCCACGAGAAGCATCGTCTCGACTTCCCAGGGCGCATAGAGCGAAAGCTAGCGCAATACAATGCTTCGCAGAGTGTTTACAAACGCTGGCTGTTCGAGATCATTAGTGTGGCGACCAGCGCTGTCTGCATGGGTAAGACATCGTCAACTTTGCTTGATATGTACATCTGCTAACCAAGAGTGCAGGTATAATTATCGGACTACTCTACTATCTCCACGATCAATCTCACAACAAATGGCCGTCAGGCCTGACGATAATCACGGTTCTTTCGAAAATCGCTTCCGCAGCGCTCATTCTACCTATATCGGAGGCTATCGGGCAGCTGAAATGGACATGGTTTCATGGGAAGAAGTCTAGAGACGCATTCGACTTCGAGATATTTGACAAAGCATCGCGCGGTGCATGGGGATCGTTCATGCTCCTGTGCCGAACGAAGGGCAAATCACTTGCCGCACTAGGTGCACTGTTGACAGTCCTGCTGCTTGCGATTGATACTTTCTTCCAGCAGGTTACCGACCTCAATGAGCGTTGGAAGCTACAGGGCAACAGCTCGATTCCACGAACCGTACGATATACCCCTTCCCTCGCCCTTACATACGACAGCACCTGGGACAACGAACCCGTGGCCACGATGAACCAAGACCTCAAGAGGACCCTGGATCCATTTTTCTTCGACCAAAATGGCACACGTCCTTTTCTCACCGAGGGTGGTCCTCAGGCTGAGATACCACTAGTATGTCCAACTAGTAGATGTGAGTGGCCGGCCTATCAGTCTTTGGGAGTCTGCAGTGCCTGCGAAGATGTGTCATACCTACTTGAATATGATTGTCTCCCCATGAAGATGGACTGGATTAGAAACTCAACTGGTCCTGGAACGGAGGATACATATCCCAATGGTGAGATGAGCCTTTTATCATCGACTGTCAGTCTCGGCAATACCAAGCAAGGCCGCCGACCAACCTGTGCAGGTTGAATATTACCATGGCTAATATCATTGTGATATAGGTACTGCTTGTGGCTATTTCCTGAATGCGACGAGTTCACTGCCTGTTCTGATGTCCGGGTACAGAGTCGAAAACAGCACGGATTCCCCTTATGGAGAGACCCTTCTCATGCGCACGCTACCGCTCGTCACAAACCCTTTGAGGTCACCGCTGTACGGGGGTTCTATCAACTTCAAGCACATCAACTATCCTATCATCGATGCGATAATCGTAAGCGCAGCGGATGGCTCCTCCGAGAGCGTCTATCGCAAAGCCCTCCCAGTGGCTCACGAATGTGTCTTATCCTGGTGTGTAAAGACACTTCGCTCCTCATACGCACGAGGAGGTTACAAAGAGGAGGTCATCGAGACCTTTACCAACACGACACAGATCGAGTACCCATGGTGGGGCGAGAGTGTGGGGCTTGGCATGACGCTGACTGAGTTTGATGCAAATATCACGATAACTCCACCTACCAACGACAACTATACGACCACTTATGGCGTCTCAAACGAGACGTTCATGAACACAATCTTTGTTCTGGACGAAGTGTTCCCCTCCCTGATTACTGTCACCGAGCCATCGGCCAAGCCATATCTGAAGATCAGAACTAGCTTCATCGATCAGGTCATGTTTCGAGAAGTTCGGTTCAACCCATGGCTTGCTCCCAATAACGTCACCTACCACATGGAAAGGATAGCACATGCTCTAACGAACGCAGTTAGGTCTGATGCTAACAGCAATGAGCTCATCGTTGGAAGCGCCTCATCCCCAGAGACTTATGTGGTGGTTCATTGGGGTTGGCTTACATTCCCTCTGCTTCTCCTTTTCCTAAGCATCGCATTCTTGGTGGCTACAATGATCAAGACTTCACAACACGCATACGATGATATCGGCAACTGGAAGACTTCCGCCATGCCGACGCTGATATACAGCCTGCCAAAAGACCTTCAACAGGACTTCAAGACACCGGCAGCATCAACGCGCACCTTGCATAGAAGGTCGAAGAAGGTTAGGATCAGGCTCATGCCAAAACAAGGCTGGAGAGTCTCTGGTATAGTTCAGCCCGCGCCGGTAGCTCCACCTGGTTTTATATAGCCACAAAGTCTTGCCCGTTATAGACACGAAAATGATGAAGTTTTCAAAATGCGCGCCAAGATCGGCATGTGATCCAGTCGTACGCGAAAGGCATTTGAGGCTCGGTACCAATCGCTTATGCAGCCAATATGCTCGATTCTCTGCGCAACAGCGCAACATGACAAAGAGCCTGGCATGAGCGCGTCTGTATTGCGACAACAGCTCCGCATGCCTAGTCGGCGTCAAAGCCAGCGGTAGACCGACCGGTGTCATTGGCTCCTACCGCCAAGCCACACGCGAGTTCAACATGGTAGCCTGGGTAGAAATGGCAAGTCTGCACGACCATGGAGTCGCAGCTGCTAAGCGCTAGAACCGTTCCTTCGGCGGCTTTTATCTCCTGTTAGCAGGCCTAGTGTGTATTCGGCGGCTAGTTATCTTCAGTTGTAGGATGTGTATACACCACAGCGTGGAATTGCCGGACCAACCTCATTCCCACTCCAAGCTGGGGTAACGGAACCTCATAAACGCCTATACAATCGATACGATAACGCGTCGCATTCACTTCCCAGTCGTTGAGCATCATCGATCGATCCACAAATCTCCCATGAGCGGACTACCTAGTTATCCATCCGCCATCTCAACTCACCCACGCAACCAAATGACAGCACTTCCGCAGTACGAACCTTCGAGACAGTTACCGCAAGACGTCCAGAACAATGAGCGCTACACATCGCCATCATCCAGCCCTGACGAAAACGGAAAGAGACCACTGGATCTGGTACAACGTCTAGAGAAGAAGTTGGCCGAGTACAATGCATCCCAGAATGTTTTCAAGAGGTGGCTTTTTGAGTTAGCCAGCTGGCTAATAAGCGCGTTGTGCATGGGCGCGGTCATCGGGATCTATATCACTATCAGTGGGCAGGAGATGGCCAAGAGCGAGCAGTACCTCACAATATCCAACACACTAGGAAAGATAGCATCCGCTACACTCATCGTGCCGACCTCGGAAGCACTTGGACAGCTCAAATGGAATTGGTTTCACAAATCTAACGCGATGTGGGATTTTGAAATCTTCGACAAGGCGTCACGGGGTGCATGGGGAGCTACGCTGCTCCTCTTTCGCACAAAAGGACGATCGCTGGCTGCCCTAGGTAAGCTGTGGTCGTACGAATTGCATGTGAGAAATACACTGACTTCGTGTCTTTACCTCTGCAGGAGCCCTACTGATTGTGTTGCTGCTTGCTATCGACACTTTTTTTCAGCAAGTGGTGACATTCCCGGATCGTTGGGCCCTGCAAACGGCATCAAGCTCCATTCCAATCGTCAAGACGTACAGTCCGCCTATTGCCAAGATATTCATGAAGGGTTCTGAACAGGGCTCGATCGATGAAATTACGGCACCTGTTATCAGAAGCTATTTTTATGAAAACGGATCGATACCTGTGCCGTTCGGAAGTGGATTTCGTCCGGATATACCACTTTCCTGCCCTTCCAGTAAATGCACCTGGCCTGTCTACGACACCCTTGCGACGTGCAGCAGTTGCATGGATGTTTCTGAAGATCTTGACATCACGTACGCCTGCTTGAATACCACAATCGATTGGAGTGCCAAATGGGACGGTCCATTAGTAGATGTACCATACCCGGTCGGAAACGTTTGCGGTCATTTCCTCAACCTTACTTCACCTACGCCGATACTTCTCTCAGGCCATGTGATGGGCGAAAACGGCACTACAAATTCAACTGACGAGGTCTTGCTAATGCGCATGATCCCTCTCTCTGATTTGGACACGAAAGAACCCTATTACGGCACTGGATCGTTCGCCTTCAAAGATATCCGCTATCCCATCGCCGACGGTCTTGTTGCGTCAGCATCGAAGGGTGCGGAAAGTGTCTATCGTCACGAGCCTCCTGTGGTGCACGAGTGCATGCTGTCTTGGTGCGTACGGCGAGTGAGATCATCGTACGAGTGGGGCGTATACAGCGAGATTACCGAGAGAACGTTTCTTGACATCGCAACTGATCATGATCCTTGGCCTTGGACAGTCGTCGGTGAATTCTTCACATATTGGCCAAACATCACTTTGGAAGCACCAGCCGTGGAGTCCCCGGATACCAATGTCACTTACTCTGTATGGAACGATACTGCTTTCCAGATCATGAACACCTGGGACGATTTCTTCCCGTCATTCTACACAGCTGCGGGTGAAGACTCAGAGCCCATTTTGAGGTTTAGGAATTACCCTGATGGGCCATCTACTCGCTTCATTGACTTCAACCCATGGCTCGCGCCAAACAACGTTACGCGTCACATGGAAGGGTTGGCATCAGCCCTTACCAACGTCATGCGATCGAACTCTAAGTCTAACGAAGCGCTCCTCGGTGAGGCATACAATCTAGAGAAGTTTGTCCACATCAACTGGCCGTGGCTCATATTCCCGTTGCTGCTTCTATTACTGAGCCTAGTGTTCTTGGTCGCTACCATCATCAAAACATCGAATGATACCGACACGGGGTTTTGGAAGACTTCGGCCATGCCAACGTTGATGTATGGTCTACCACAAGATATGCGGAAGGACAGCATCTCAACCACGAGCTCGGATGGCGCATCGCATCACGATCCCCGCAAGGTTAGAATTAGGCTCTTGCCAAAGCAGGGCTGGAGAGTGTCGGGACAGGTGCACCCCGCACCGACAGCTCCACCTGGCTTCATATAAATGCCAAGATCTCTCGTAATACATACACACATAGACAATGCATATAGTTATAATAATACATGATCTATGATGAATAGCTACATCTAAGGCTGGTTTTGGCGCGCCATCGTCATCGCAGGGCCAATCTCGCTTGCTGAACCCTGGCTCGTCCAACGCGTCCCGCTGAACCCTCACGTCTTTTCTCTTCGTCCCAGCTTCATCACCCAGAGCTATCCTCCGTCTTCGGTCACCAGGAGATCCTTGATCTTTACTGCATCTAAAGTCGCTATACTTGCCAGCCTGATATGGCCATGTCGGTCCCCGCGCTCGGTAGCTGCCAGCCAGTTGGTATGCCGCAGCGCTAACAGCAAAGCTCTCATAGGCGCACGATAACGAAGCGCACGCTCAACGTCGAAGATCAAGATGCGCAGCTTAGCGCCACGACTCTACCATGACTGAAGGCATACTCGCAGCCGGCAGTTCAAGATGTATAGCTTGTTAGGCGCCGGTGCGCTGTCATCTTACCCTCGAGCAGCGATCGAACGACCAGCCTTACCGCGAGAACACCCCCCTTCGCGTCTCGTGTTTCTCATCACGGCCCGATCCTCATCTATGCGAGTCTCACCGAGATGGCTTCCATTCCAAACGCGATACGATACCAACCTTCGTGGACACAAAAACGCGGACAACATGAAGGACGACATGCGCCAGGGTCGCTAGACTCTTCAGAAGACAAGAAATCATCGCTCGACTTCACGCAACGAATCGAGAGAAAGTTAGCCGAGTACAACTCGTCGGACAACGTCTTCAAGAGATGGCTATTTGAGATGATGAGTTGGTTGCTCAGTGCATCGTGTATGATAGCGATCATCTGCATCTACCTTCGAATCAACGGCCAACCCATGTCGCTGGACGGATCCTATCTCACCTGGACGAATGTCTTGGGTAAAGTCTCTTCGGCTGCGTTGATCGTTCCAACATCAGAGGCGCTCGGTCAACTGAAATGGCATTGGTTCCATAGATCCAATGCTATGTGGGATTTTGAGATATTCGACAAAGCTTCCAGGGGACCTTTGGGTGCCCTAATGTTACTATTCCGGACAAAGGGCCGTTCTTTAGCGGCGCTCGGCGCGCTCTTAATTGTACTACTTCTTGCGATCGACACCTTCTTTCAGCAAGTTGTCAGTTTCCCAGACGAGTGGATGACACAGTCTAACGCCGGATCGATACCAAGGGTAGTGCAGTACGAGCCGCTCTACGCACCGGAAACCTTCCAAGGACTCGAGACGAATTTCGTGGACCCCGCTTTCAGAGACCTCTTTGGCCGGTACTTCGCAGGGAATGGGACCCACCCTACGCCTTTTGCCAACACTACACGCCCCGACATACCACTCTCTTGTCCTACTAGCATCTGTAACTGGCCCCCATACGAAACTTTAGGCGTGTGCAGCGAATGTGTACAAGCGACAAATTTACTGCAATTCGCGTGCTTAGAGACGAAAGTCGACTGGACCGCCACACATGTTCGCCCAATTGATGACGATTCATACGCCGAGAGAACAGTCTGTGGCTACTTCTTGAACGCAACAAGTAGATCGCCTGTACTGATGTCGGGGTATGTTGTTGGTGGTGGGAATGAAAAGCCAACAGATGAGGCTCTGCTCGTACGTGTGATGCCATTGACTGATATGCAGACAAAGGCGCCGGTTTTTGGCGGCTCGATCAACTTCAGGCATCTTCGTAATCCAATCCTGGACACACTCATTGTCTCGGCGCCCGACGGCCGTGATAGTGTGTATCGAAATGAAACTCCTGTTGCTCATGAATGCGTTTTGGCTTGGTGCGTCAAGACGGTGGCATCAGCATACGCGTGGGGTCAATATAGTGAGACGATATCGGCCGTCTACCTGAACACGACAGACCAACCGTGGCCATGGCCATGGCAGAGTTATCCGGTGGAGCTGGAGAGTGAAAATGGCACCATGACTATCTTTGATGAAGATGTGACGATCACTCCGCCTCTTGCCACCCGTACCAACTCAACTGCGGAATACCAAAGCTTCAGCATGTCTAATACCACCGCGTCAAATATCATGATAGGATTCGACGATTTCTTTCCTTCGTACTACACCGCTATCAAGGGACAGAAGCCAGCCCTGCGATACAAAAACTACCCCGATGGACCCTCTTTGCGCAAGCTGGCATTCAATCCACTTCTGTTTCCCAACAACGTCACTCACCACATGGAGAGATTGGCAACCGCCATGACCAACGTCATCCGATCATCTGTCAGCGTAGAGATGATTTCGGGCGATGCTCTATCTCCACAAAGCATCATTGCTATACAGTGGGAGTGGCTCTGTTTCCCATTCCTGTTACTCCTCCTGTCCCTGATCTTTCTGGTCTTGACGATCATCAAAACCGCAAGAGACACGGGAACGGGTGTTTGGAAGACATCGGTCATGCCGACTCTTATCTATAGTCTGCCCAAGGAAACTCAGGGTCAATTCCAGGAACCATCCACTTGGCATACTGCAAGAGATACGAAGAGAGTTCGCATTAGACTGCTGCCAAAATCGGGCTGGAGGGTATCTGGCCAAAGCCATCTCGCTGCGTCGCCACAACTACCGCATCCTGCTGTTCAGGCACCACGTGGCTGGATTTGACGTGCGCTGCAGTAAGCTGTGGAAAACATAATACAAGCAAGTGCAGGTAGACTTCGCAGTCTGCGACCGCGCAATACACAAGAGCTTAGACATGCAATGGCAACGCCCAGATGTAGGCTTGTAGACCATGTGATACGCACAGAAACCAAATCTACACAATTGCCTTGTGAGAAGCCTTCAGAGAGCTTCGAGTGTGATCACTTGGTGTGATGAGAGTTATGAGGAGCAGCATGTTGCATTGCGACGCGTTCTCGGTCTCAGGACCACGTGACTGGGTTTCAGCCTGCCTGATTCGTGCCGCGACCATTATGCTATGATGGCTTTCTTCCAATCATTATACGATAACCACAACAACATTAACCTGCGTGCCTAGACAATGCAACCGACCCCGCATCCGTAGCTTCCAAGGCGTTCATCAGGGTGAGGCGTGGGTCACGGATCGAAGCGCCACTACATGCGTAGTGGAAACGAGCATGGCGTGCGATATCCTGAATACGATCGTACTTGATGAGCATTATCTATGGATAAAGCACCAGGCCATTCCCTTCGCTATTAGCAACAGCTCCATCGACTGAACCGCAACCAATCTGCACCAACCTTCAATTTCCGTATATCAATACTCTTCCTTTCCATTCATACCAATATGCGCGTGCACGCAGTCACCGCATTGCTTTCCTTCTCCCTTGCTGTCCTTGGAGCACCCGTCTCAGACGCTAAGGTATTTCATCTCATATTCGTATCCCAAGGTCTTCGCTAATAGGGTATAGACATCACTTCATGATGTCTCGTCTGCTAGTGCAAGCCATCGACGTGATGCGATCCCTATAACTCTCATCGAGCCCTTGAAAGCACGCAGCCAGGCCGAAGAGGTGCCTATTGAAGCTCGTGGCAGGGTCAATACCAATACCGGACGAGGAAAACGAGAGGCCGAAGCCGAGGCTGAGGTTCAAGCCCTTGAAGCACGCCTCAGGGTCGGGAGTAAAGCAGGTGGCGTTCCACGGGATGCAGATGCGGAGACCGTCAAGCGGGCTATCGGGTTTCCAAAAGGTGGCTCGTCCAGAAGACGTCGGGATGCACAGGGGCTCAAGTTCAACAGCCCTGGTGGTCATCGACGAGATGCGGATGCAGAGGCCATCGACCGATCTATCGGACTTCCAGAAGGTAACCTGGACACCGATGGAGTCACTATTTCCAACGAGGCCCTGGCCGACCGTAGTCGCCTTGTCACATGGCCGCGCACACGCGATGCTGAGGCATCGAACGATGTGGTTGCGCGTGGAAAGGGAGTGCCATGGACCCCCAAGCGCGATGCTGAGGCAATCAAGATCAACAGCCCTGGCGGCCATCGACGAGAAGCCGAGCCCATTAAACAAGCTCTCGGACTCCCAGCAGGTGGTTCGGACACCGACGGCCTCGCTACATCGAACGCGGCCCTGGCCGAGCGAGGCCACAACGTCTCATGGGGAGGCAAGCGCGCCACCGACCCGGCAGACGACTTGGCTGAGCGAGATCGTGGCTCGCGCTTGGGTGGACGCAAGCGTGGTCTTATAAGACACCCTGGAGGTTCTCCTAAGAGAGACCTTACCCCGGGTCGCGGCGACAGCTACCGACGTGAGGCTGAGCCCATCAGACATGCACCAGGAGGCGGCTGCCCTCGGGATGCCGCACCCATCAGAATTCCACTAGGTGGCTGCCGTCGGGATGCTGCTGCCCAGCCTAACAGAATCGGCGGGGGTACAAGTGGCGGTCGACGAGATACCATTCCAAGAGGCATTCGCGGTAATGGTGCTAACCCACGAGGTGTCCGTCCGGGAAATGGTAATAATCCAAGAGGCTTTGTTCGTCCGGGCAGTGGTACTCGCCCAAGGGATGTCATTGCAGAGACGGTCGAGGCTCGCGGGAGGTACAGAGGCAGCAGCCGTCTTGTTTGATCGATGAAGACCAGGGAGTTCAATCGGACAGTTACCATCTCTTTTGTTGATGCGAGCTCTTTTTGTACAACAACATCGGCTCGGATACCTCAAGGACCTGCTGGACACTAGGCGAAAGGTATCCAGCCACTCCATATCTCTTTGCAATGAAATACATATAAACCCATTTGCAACGCTTCGTCGTTAGATACAGTGTAGAGGTGATTTCTTTCGCGTTTGTCGTGGTACCGGAGGCAGAAAGAACGTTTCTGGAGATCATCCGACTCATCTCGGGGTTGGGTTTCACCTTGAACTCTTTCGCTTTTGCTCTTGGAATGCTGATACTGCTCGATCGTCTTCTTCCACACATGGCTATGTTATTTGCATCTATGTCACAGAAGATGGCTGCATGATTACGAAACGAATCGAGATTTTACAAAGAGAGGCTATAACTACATGGAACAGAAACCGGCATATGCCAGTATCAAGGATCAGCGCGATGCTGATATGGGCTATCGCAATAGCGATATCACTAGACCACACGAATGCAGTATCATAGACCAGCAGAGCCAGTATTGGGACCAGCAGAGCCAGTATTGAGACCAGCAGAGCCAGTATTGGGACCAGCAGAGCCAGTATTGGGACCAGAGCGAGTCTAGTATAGTGGACTAGCAGAGCTAGTATTGGGACCAGCTCAAGGCTAGTATATGGGGACCAGACGAATCTAGTGTCGTAGACCAGCAGAGCTAGTATTGGTCAACTGGCACGCCGCCGAGTTTAGGTGACCGACACAAGGCTTGTTAGTACAGGCTAACGGATGAATGCAGTATCTTGACCGGTTCAAGATCAGTATCAACCCGTACATTCACCGCACCAGCCGCAGTCACATCCTCCTCTGGACTCTTGCTGCCCACTCCAGTCTTCGCCGCTCCCAGCAGCAGCAGCAGCAGCCAAACGACGGAGAAATTCATTGCCTGGCTCCTCACTCGTAGGCATATTTGCTGAGTTGCGGGTCGAATTAGAAGCTATCACCTGTTGTGAGGCCTCTGCTGCAATATACTCACGCACCGCCGAAGTGACCATGGCTCGGAGGTCTCGTTGTTCAAAGTGCTGGTTCAAGCTCTGCTCGGCTGTCGTGAAGATGATGTACGAAGCCTCGAATTCGCTGACCTGGTTAATTTGCAAAGGATGCAAATTCACACGCGGCTCGTCTTGAGTAATTGTGTTGATGGCCGACTGCCGATGGTCGCGCGCGGTTCGCATTGCCCTATCGTAATGTCTCTGGTTGTCTGCATCGGGAATAACAACTATCATAATTAGCGAAACCTCTAAAGATATACCAGCTGACTGACAGTTCCTCGAGTTTCGTGTCACTATGCCCATTGTGTTCTGCGAATTGTACGCTCTACCATATGGCGTATTGTGGACAATTTTATTCGAATTGTTATAAGGTCCACCGTACTGCGCATTGCTATATGACTCATTGTAGTTGTCGTAAGTTATGTTATTCGTTATGTTATACTGCGCATTGTTGAAGAATTGATTGGAGTTGTCGTATTGCACATTATTCGTAGGGTGACTCGAGTTGTCGTACCGCGCATTATTCGTAGAGTAATTCGAGTTGTCGAGGTATGCCCTGTTGGATTGCCCATTGTTGACGAATTGATTCGGACGGGAGTAAGCTCCGCCGCGTCGCGAGTTATTGGCGTATTGGTTCGGATTGTTTTGGTAAGGGCGATTGTGGCCCCGGTTGGGATAGTTGTTTTGGAAACCGAAGTTTCCGCGACCGGCCATTTCACTATACATGTCAGCGCTCGTCTGCGAGATGAGAATGTGGGGGGTACTTACATTGTGTGTGAAAAGGCGAGGAGCTAGAGAGGCCAGGGAAGCTGCGATACTACAGCAGGTGAGAGAGCGTCCAACTGGGGTTAGCGTGGAACCTGGATAGCGACTTCCAGATGTCCAGCCGAGCGCGATACCCAGGCACGTGCCAGGTAACAACGCCAGGAGAGATTGAAACATTTCTACATCGTGCACAAAGCCGCGAAATTCGAGAACACCTTGATGGGTCGCGTCCGATGTGAGGGCTAACATGAATGGCGGGTAGGATGTGATAGTCGGTTATGAAGTACATACATTGTACCCGATATTTCGTCGCGTTGCACCTTTGGCACCACCCAACGGAATGCTCATTTTCTTCATGGGCGCGACACAAGCATCGTCTTCGACAACTGCAGCACTTTGCTCGCATCATAGCACTTTTCATCTGTCGCCGAGGGCGGCGTAATTGCTCACCTCATTAGCGTGTTTACGCTTGACGCGTCAATCGCTCCGTTGTCGCGAAAAAGACGCGTGTCCATCAGCAACCCATTACCTCAACGCCTACGTATAACTCCTTCATCGTCCATCGCCCATTGCCGGCAGTATATCAATTGTTCCGCTGTCCACCCGCCTGTTCACTTACTTGCGCATAGCGTCGCCAGGGGTGTAGAGCTTCGCCGCGGTTGCAAGTACCTAGGTATCTGGAGCGTTGCACAACCACCTCATTCTTCGATTAAACGCCCTAGTGCAGGCTTCTCGGAAGTTTGCATCTGCCTCCAAACTGTCTTGCCGACTTCATGATACCATCGCGATCGCTTGTTTGCCACAGCGCAGCAATGTATTCTGCAGCACTTGTATGACGCTCAGCAGAAATCTGAGGCCGCGACATACGTGCTGCCGAAGCATTGACTCGTTCAAATGTACACTGGCGACTACTGTTACCGACTTACCAAACCCCGAATTTAGACGCTCAAAATTACCGCCGGAAGACTTCAGATTCGAGCGCGGAACCCAGAAGCATTGCCTACATACCTAGGTAGCCCTGGAGGCAGCTTGTGCTGCGGTCACGCTAAGCCAGATCCTAGCTAGCGCCCATACTTCTCCAGGCCCAGGCCATATGTATCTCGTGGTACCAGCAACCGTGGGACGTACAAAGAACACCTGTACAAGCGGACGCGGCGAATACTTAGCCCCTCTCACGCTTTCCACAAACTCTGTATTTCGACTTTTCGCAAACCTTCACAACCGACCCCTTCCTGCTAAGCGACCATGGGTGCCGCACTATCTTCAGTAATCCAATCAAGGGCCAACGAGTCAATTCTGCAGGCTGATCCTAGGAATTCCTTGCTCCACTCGATCTATGAGCCAGACCGTGATCTTCGACACCTGCATCCTAGGGAACTGAAGCTCTACTTGGAGTGGTACCACATGCAAGACTGCACAAACACATCCCCCAGAGCAGCTCCACCCTACTCAGAAGCGGAGCAATCAGCGTTGGAGCTATGGAGACAGCAAGTCAATCGCCGGATGATGATACGGATCTCCAGCTACAACGTCAGCAAATTCATTCCAGAAGGCATGAGCAAAGTGCCACAGGTGTCACGGCCACCGATTCGCTCAGAGCATCCCGTATTTCAAATCCCCGAAATGCTAGACCTGATACTGCATTTCTCGGGGCCACAGGCACAAGTCCGAGCACTGCAGATCTCAGCTGCCTGGCGAACCTCCGCAATATCTGTTATTACAAATCGCCGCATCCAGGAAGCGTTCCTTTCGCCATCGACTGCTCCAGTTATTGAGTACGGACAACTGATCGATGATGCTGCTTACGTCCTGCCGAGGCCATGCACGCGGCAGATCGAGCAATTCGGGCTTCATGTCAATCGTATGATCAGTTGGCGGAACAAGTCGTATTACCCGAACTACATCTATTTCCCAGCATGTATGGCGCAGCTGAGTGATCTACCGAGCTCAACTGCGAGCTCTCTGAACGAACTGGATATTGGCCAGCGCAGCATTGACTATCACGATAACACATTCTCAGTATCTCGTGATACGGACCTCTTTTGGCTGGACTTCACACAGCTCCAGATCAATCCTTACTTCGACCTCTTGTTCTCGGAGAAGGGCCGTTTACTGCAACGCCTTGGTAGATGGGAGATTAGTCTACGTCCTGATGCGACACCTGGCCATCTTGTTGTAGGTAACTCACCTTCAGACATGTTGCTAGTACATGCTATTGGATCGATGCACATCACGAACCCGCCGTGTCGATGTGTGGGTATCTATTGCTACGATGCGGTCGTTTTTGGAGCGTGTGGCGGCGCACCCGCGTTGTTAAAGAGAATTCGCAATAACGACGGTATATGCGTTGGCGAACTTCTAGATGCGCTTGAAGACTGCGCACCGAAGTTGCTCGGAAAGTGGGCTGAGAACGCCGAGCAGCTCCGCAATCGCGTTACGGAAAACGGCCATTGGATTGACGACGTTTGGCGGATGCCCGGCACACCCAGATTTCGCCTTCATCTGGATAATTACGATATGCCGGACGAAATGCTCCGCATCAAAGATACCACTACACCAACAGGGGGAAGGGATCCAGAGTCCGTTGCTTCCACGTTCTTAGGGCTCCAATTCCACATCACCCGCACCGCCTATATGTCCGCGGAGCCACCCAGAGCAACGACAGAGGGCGAATGGCTCCCTGAAGAGCTTTTCGAGCCTATGAAGACTGAGACTGGACGATCGAATGTTGATTGGGAGGTGTGAGAGTCATTGGTGTTGCTACGGTACTGTCAGGCATGGTTAGCACGTTGCCTACTTTCTTTTATTTCGTACGCGCCAACACAGGCATACTCAACTCATAAGCTCATCTTCATATTCGCACAAGGGGAGCACAGCAAGAAGCGTTCTGTTCCGAGTTTTTTACAGCACCGCGCCAACTAAGGAAAAAGCTGAACAGGTCTGCAGCCTACATCAACTTTATATCACCTACTTTGCAGGTTTTTACGTTAATGTAGGCTGCAAACATGTTCAGTTTTTTCTTTTATGAGGTGGCAATTATCTTCAACAATACTAGTTCGATTAATAATGAAAGGATTTTCACTGTATCCTCCGAAGATGACCAATAGCCTAGAGGATCTGCCACCCTCTAAGCAGTATGCATGATTGTACCTTGCCACTCTTAACCTTCTCTTAATCCAGCATCATCAAAGCTGTAGTCTAGTGGTAGCTGCAACATCTCTGATTTGATCGATAGCTGCTGCAAGTCTTAGGCTAATCTCACACCCTCTCCGGCACACCAATTCGACGCTGGAAACACCAGTGATTATATGCAGTCGATGCGAACTGGCACTCCCTCCCATCGTCTGGCGCATCTCTCAAAGTCTTCGCGAAATAAGTCCTTGGGTGGAACTCGCTGCAACGGTCGCACCACAGCATCCCAGGCAGATCCCAGCTTTTGTTCTCGAGCATCAGTTGAGAGGCGAAGACATCGCGCCTCATGCGTCGCCAGTATACCAGTAGAGCGGGTTGATCGAAATAACGTCGGCGTTGCAAAATTGCGGTATGCCTGCAAGTACGAACGAGCGTTAGGAGGTCCGCGGGAGGGAGATACATGGCGATTTGCTCGAGAAGCTCATTAGGTAGACGGTATAGTGCAGACTCTCGATGATTGCGGTTCTCGATACGAAGGTATTTCCTTTGTGTCTTGAGATTGTGCCACCGCCCTATAATCGCTTGCAGATACGAGTTATTTTCCTCCAAGCAGAAGTATCTTTCATCGCGCGATACGATAAGATTGCCGTGGGTCCGCGTTATGGGTGTGACCCTGCCCGACGAAGTGATGGCCGCCCCTGTCGTGATGATGCTCATTGCCGCGAATGCAGCCACCTGCATTGTGTCGAGGCAGATAGTTTTGGGACGTTGATGTTATTTTCAAGAAGAGTTTTTAAGGAATCTTGTGGTATGTCTGCTTTCTCATATAGTACCGTCAGATTATATCACTAGCCTACTTACCGTCACGAGAGGTCTCGTTCGAGAATCCACATCTGTTCCCATGGTTATGAGGTAGGTTGTGAGATGCCTAGCGGCGGCTCGTTCCTCGCTACCTAGGTACGCATCATCGATGAACCGCTTCAAAATTCTACGTAGTGCGCAAAAACGTGCGAGCTGAGCACACTTGAGCTGTTATAATCGAGGCCAATGCGAGAGCTGGGATGCGTTATCGACGAAACGTGATCGTGACGTGGAAGATCCATGCCCGTGCGATCACAGCAAAAGCAGTAGTTCGTGGTACCGGCGCTACTGTCGCCGCGCCCGAGCCCTGGAGCTCACGGTGTTCATCCCGCAGGGTCTTACGCGCTGTGCTTCCATCACCAACCCGCTGCTCGCGCGCTCGCGTTACGTGCAGCTTTAGCATCATCGCCGCATTTGCTTTTCTATCCTTTATGTTCTCTCAAGGCCAACGGCGTAAGAGTTTAGATCTACCGGCGAGCAGCCATATTCTCCTATCGACGCGTATCCTACGAAGCATTCGACGTGTCGATCGCGCCCAGATGCCATTGTCGTCGGAAAACCACGTCACATCTCGTCCACAGCCGCTCCTTGCCTCAGCGCCTACATACTGATCGCTCGATCCCGCAGTTGGTTCAGTGAATTAATCATTCCGCTGTCCGCTCGGCTATCCACTGCGTCGCAAAGATGGAAGGCACCCGGTTTGCCTTTGCGCCAAGCCGAATCCTAGCTAGCGGCAAGGCTCCAACAAGCAAACCATGGGACTTACGGAGGACAGCTGGACAAGTGCAACTTCTCGCAAACTGTCCTCTGCGACTTCAAAGGTCTGCTCATTACTGTGACCAAGAGAACGCGATCGAATCCTCACCTCACTCGACACACCATGGGATCCGCACTTTCCGCAATAGCATCGTCCAAGATTGTCGATCGATCCAGTTCGCCTCTAAATGCCAGAGACTCCTTTCTCTTCTCCATTTACCAGCCTCAGCACAATCCGGAGACTCTTGCGCAGTCACATCGCAACGTTCTCAACGACATAAATGATTTATGCGATTTATCAAATACGCCTACACAGGCGTCACCGTTCTATTCCCCCTCAGAGCAACGAGCTGTTGAGCAATGGAGAATGCAGGTTGGTCACCGAGTAAGGACACGCATAGCCCTTTACCAGACTCGCCAACCAGACACGATAATCCAAACGCATAATCAACGATCATACCAACGACCATGCCAGCGACTACATCAACGTACAGAGCATCACATGTTTCAGATTCCCGAACTGCTGGATATGGTACTCCAGTTCGCCGGACCTGAGACCCAAGTTCGCGCGTTGAACATATCGACTGCTTGGCGCACCTCTGCCAAATCTGTTATATGCAGTCGCATAAACGTTGACGCGTTTTGTACTCTAGCATCACCGAATGTACCAACAGAGTATGGACAAATCATTGATTGGGAAAGCGAGACCCCTCTTCAACCCAGCACTGACGAAGTCGCGCAATTCTGCCTTCACGTGGCGCGCATACGCGACAAGCTCTGTCATCCGCAAGTCCACAGGTTCTTCTATTTTCCCGCGTACTTCGCACAGTCACCAGGTCTACCAGACGCAGTCGCACACTACTTGAACGAATTGGATGTTGCGCAACGCGGCCAGACCCATATGAGCGTACACTCGATCTTCCGCGACGCAGATCTTTACTGGCTCGATCTCAGTCAGTTCCGAACCAACCCGTACTTCGAGTTGTTGTTCTCCGAAGAAGGCCGCTTTAAGCATCATCTAGGCCGATGGGAGATTAGTCTACGGGCCAAGGCTACACCTAACACTATGTTGGTCGACGACTCGGTTTCGAATCGACTTCTTCTCCAGGCTATCGGGTCAATGCAGATCGTTCATCCGCCGTGTAGGAGTCTTGGTATCTATCACTTCGACGTCGGTAAATTCAAGATAGGCCGAACACACCCGCTGCTGAGAAGACTTCGCAGAGAAGATGGCATTCGTGTGATCGATCTTATAAGAGCATTACACGAATTGGCCCCTAGTCTGTTATCAACATGGATGCGCTATGCGGAGCAACTCCGTGACCAAATCAAAGACGCGCACTGGATAGACGACTTCTGGAAGATCCCCGGATCACCGAGATTCCGAATTTGTCTCGATAATACAGATATGTCAGATGAGTATCCTCTAGAAAATCTTTCGCGAGCGGCGTCTATGGCGCGATCGGCAGCCGCGGATGTGCAATTGGGTATGGACGCTCACATCACTCGTCGACCGTACATGTTTGCCGAGCAGTTCAGAGGATCTAGGGAAGGCGAATGGCTTCCGACTGACCTCTTCGAACCTATGACAAGCGAGACAGACCGGCATCCAATCGAATGGAACAAGTGATATCCATCTTAGTTCCTGACATGAACAGGAGGACGCAGAGCAATATCACTCACCACCTCTGCAACACATACTCTGCGTATACGTACAGGTACTTTTTCCAATGAAGGACATCACAACACTCAGAGACTTGCTTGCACAGGGTAGAGCAAGCGGCGACATCTTCACCATCATGTAGCCTCGCCACTCCTTGAGGATCGCTCTGGGGGCGTCGCGTTTCAAATATGTAGTTTTGATAACAGTCACGAGTGCTTTCAAGACAAGAATGCATATGTATGAGTCAGCATCATGCCATCTCACTAAACGTAACGTAAGGTTATTTCCTTCGAGAATTGAGAATGTATTGCTACTCACTACCCACACCCTCTAACCAACCCCCACCCTTACAGTCGCAACATCACGCGTCACTTCACAGCATTATCATTACCCGTCCATCATTCGCATACCACTAACCAACCAATCCCACCTCGCAACTCCATCGCCACCGCAACCCCGGTCAAAACCACACCTCAGTCGAGCAACTCGGCACCGCAGCCTTGGTCACACGCCTCTGCGCCGGCCTCACAGCAACCCGCGGGTTCAACACCCGCCGATCAATCGTACCATCCGTCATTGCGCCCCCTTCCATATCAGCCGACGCGAAACTAGGTAAGAGCATCGATTTAATCCGCGAAAATAGCGACGGCTGTGGCGATTCTGGGCCGTGCTCTCCTTCTATCTTTGGCGACAGGTCAGGTGGTGCCGGGCCATTACTCGGAGGAGTGCGCAGGGGTGAGCGAGAGGAAGGGATGGCCGTTGACCCAGGAGTCAGGGCCGGAGACGGTGTTGGCTCAGGTACAGGTGGTGTCGCATGTGGTGGTGGGGGCGTGGGCGGACTGATTGGCGGTGTTGGGGTGGAGGATTCTAAGGGCGGCGGGTTGGTTGGCGGCACGGACACCGAGGACGAGAGTTGGGGACGCGCCGCAATGCTTGTATTGGGAGGGAGAAGCGAGGCTTCTGTAGGTGTGGTAGTTGGGACGCGTGGTGATAGGCTTGCATCTTGCGACGGGGAGAGTGATCGCTGCACGGGCGCGGTAGAAGTTTCCTCTTCTGCGGTTGGCATTGGTGCTGGCTTGGTTGACATAGCCGCTGCTCTATCTCTGAGATCGTCGCTTGGTCTAGGGCTTGCTTCTGGTATCGACTCCATGTACGTTATTTGCCGACCGAGAATGGTTGACGTCGGCGTCGGCGTTGGATCATCATCAATCACTTGCTCGACAACAATTGGACCATTCTCAGCATCATCAGGAAAAGGTCCATCGTAGACTTTACGTCGTCTGAAGCAACGGCAGCAGCAAAGCATGGAAAGTAAACCTCTGTATATATTCAT